TGTAATTCAACCGCAATAGTAATGTCTAATTAAATTTATGTATTTATCTTATAATAAATTTAGCAAAAACGAGCTTTATATTGCAGTACGCACTACATGTTAAGAAACCTACAGGAGTGATGATAGCTTGGCACACTTTATTTATATAATAAAGAAATGCAAAGCAATTTGCATATATGTATGTATAATGCCTGAACTCAATCAATCACAATGTAAGAGGAGATGACAATAATGACAATAAAATCAAGAAAATGTTCTATACGTTATTACTTTGTGTTTTATAAATTGAAATTAAAGAGAGAGAAAAAAAAGAAGAAACCACTGTACTGATTTTGAACGATGAATGGATCCACAACGATCAGCAGTCACACTTCATAATGAAAAATACAAAATGTATTTAAATCACGTAAGCAATAAAATATGCAAAAGCAGGCGGCACACTTCCAGAAAAGTATACTAAAAAATCCGCAAATAAATAAAATTTATAAAAAGGTGCGTCTTGACAAAGTAGCGGAAACTACCATTCCTTTGTTGATATTTGTCAAAAGACTAACTTTATGCAAATTTACAAGATTGTCAAGCAGTAAAAGTGAAAATTATTATTTAACATTTTATATTTGTTTTCAAATAAACTTATTATCAGTTATTATGCAAATTTTATGCGTCAAATTAAAGAGAACAACATATTAGTCGAATTATGACTACTGAGATAAAAACAAATTTAGAGAGTTTAGAGAGTAAATAGACGAGTATCTGAACCACTCCCAAATTTTGAACAATTCATTTGTAAAACACTTTAAGCATGTGATTTTTCATTAGAGAGAATATGTGATGTAGATACAAAAAAATAGACGACCACATAAATTTAACAACATTAAAAAAGCGAAGACGGCGTACAGACATTTGATATGATGAAGAAAATATGCTGCTGTCTACGAAATGTCTAAGTTCATTTCTTTGTAAAGCAAAACAAAGAACAGATAAAACCAGAAAAAAAAGGTAAATAAAATTTTTAATCTTGTCAATTTTTGACATTAAAAAGTTTAAGCCTCCGAAAAAATATTCTTATCTTATAGATACGAATAAAAATTAAAGCTACTTTTATGTTATTTTTATATACAAATAATTAGGTAAACAAACAATCTTCAAATTTACATAAAATTAGCATTAATTTTTTTTCCAACAAGATAGAGCTACAACCTCCAAAACTGCACACCCTTCTTTCATATCCACTATAATTAAACTATTTTCTGCAATTTAGTTTTTAATACCTTTTAGATGTTTTGTAACGTCTTTAGGTTTTTTGTTAGCCATGTTTCCTTAAGGATAGTGGAATTACACCAGTTTTAACACCATTGAGCTATAAACTATTACAGAATGGCTGCTAAGCATTTTGGATTTTACTCATTACTACCACAAAAATGTGTAGATATAAAAAATAGATCACATAAACATGTTGAACAAAATAAAAACATTAAGAAACAATCTCTAAAACCAAGAAAAGGATAGGTCAGATCAGGCTAAGTGCCGTATATTCTAAGATTATAGTTCTGTTAAGTCGGTAAGAAAAGATATACCAAAGTCGTTAGTTGACGTTATCATTAAATAATAATAGTAAATGTTATTGTATTTAAGATGTGTGCGTTATTAGAGAAACTAAAGATATAGTTTCTTTAAAAATCATGAACAAAATACAGACTCTCTCAAAACTGGCACCACAAAAAAACATGGGAGATTTTTTAGTTTAAGATCTTTTGCCTTTTTGTCTCTACATGACCTCTTAACAGTACCCAGTAGAAAAAGTGGTCTTCGAAGACATTGTCTTCAAGACGGTCTTTGATACCGCGTCCGCATGTTCAAGCAAATTTGCAAAACAATTGCTCAAAACATGAATATAAATACTCTTTCTTTGCTTCCTCTCTCATTTTTAGTGTTCATAGCAACGAATTTGAATTTTGCCTCAGATGACGCTATGTTTTATAAATGAAGTGACGCAATAATTTTGAAGTGTAGTAAATAAACATTTGTGAAATAAATATTAAAAAAATCAAAATGAATAAAGAAACAAAATCATTAAACTATGAAATATTAAAAAAAATAAATTAAATCAAAACAAATTAAATATTGACTTAGTTCCTGGAAAATATATTGATATTAATATTGAAGACAATAATTCCAGTGAAAGTTGTTTAAGAAACGAAACAAAGGATGTTGAAAATAAAAAAACTAAAAACACTTGTGAAAAATTAGCTGTTATATTTAAAAAACACAGGATTAACAGGCGTTGTAGTAATGATATTTTAGAACTCTTAAGATCAGAAGGTTTAATTGTACCAAAATTCTTTTCAACGCTTTTGAAAACATATAAAACTTCAACAATTGATGATAGCGAAATGCTATAAATTATTTTATATTAATTTTAGTTAATTTTAGATATGCTAAGTTATATTAAGTTAAATATTTAAATTAATTTTCATTATGGTTTCTTAGTTTTTAAGTTTTATTGTTTAATTTAATTTATTTTTAATGTCTTAATAAAATTTATAATTTACTTTTAATTTTGAATGTAATATAAAAAATTATTATATAAAATAAATAAAAGTACAAAATACAACAATTTCTTTCTACTTATTTAAAGAGAAAATTGAAATTTATTTAAAATTTAAAGAGCGCAATAAAAGAGTAGAAATAAAAAAAGGGTGAAAAAATTTTATGAGCACTGCACTAAGAGCGCACAACTTTCTGTCGAATGCGTCCGTTATGCAAGACATGGTCTTCGAGACGGTCTTCGAGACATGTACGCAAAAATTCATTGAAGACATTTGGCTAATTTGTATGAAAGTGTCTTCGAAGACCGTCATACATTTGGATCGATCGGTCTTCATGTATGCATCCATGTCTTGAAGACGTCTTCGATGACGGATCGATCCGTTTTCTACTGGGTAATAAGTATACACGTACTACCTAACAATACATCGAAAATATTTTAATGCTATTTATAAATGCAAAATTAAAAAAAATATGAATATACCTATATTTCTCTTACTTTCTGAGAATGTTTCCTTTTTTATTTTGTAGTTCTATGGCTAAGTGTTTTTTACTGCTTATTTATAAAGTTGAAGTTTAAAATTCAAAAGTCATGGTCAGCAAAATAAAAAACAAAAGATATTATTATTTCAATTATAAAAGTTCATTTACCTTTTTTGGTGTTGAGTACAAGATATTTTCGAATAAATAAAACAAAAAAAAAACAACATTTACACATATATTAATTACAAACAGAAGACTTACGAATATATACAAATATTTTATTAAACAATTAAAGTGCAATACTTTAATTTAAAAAAATAAAATTTTAATATAAGAGCAAAGATTGTTTTTTTATTTCAAAGTTGACTCAATAAAATCTTAATTAATTTAATAAACATAATATCGGTTTGCAACCTTTAAGCCCGATATCTCAAAAACCGATATCGTAGGACAAAAATTTGCTTATATATTTATATTAACTAAAAGCCTTTATCAATTTACATCGTCGGAAAAACAAAATTTTCTCCTTATTTCATTTTTTCAATTGTTATAAATAATATAAATGTTTATTTATAGTAAATCGAGAATTATATTTTTCAAAAGGAACTCAAATTAATAATAATTTTAGTTTTTTTGCTTTGTTAAATTAAACAATTAAATTGCTTATACCTAAATTACAATAAAACACACATAGATAGCTTTAAATGGATTAATTTAATAAAACTAAAATATAAAAAAAAAAATACACAAATCTTTATAAGTATTGTACTTGAAATATATTTTTTTGCTATTAAGTTCTGTTCCAATAGGTCAGTGTAAACACAATCCTCAAATTACTTCATTTCATGCTCTAATGGAAGAAACACTCCACGAACTATACAAATGCGAAAATGATATCATTTTGCAAATATATAAGAAAAAAAGTAAGTAAGTAAAACACTGAATATGCTTTATAAATAAAACCAAAAGGAAACAGATACTTAATTTCGACATACGTACTCATTTTTCATATCTTTCTTATGTATTTATATATCAGCCGGTGTAAGAACTTAGTTACTTTAAACTAAATGTGGTTCACATACAAGTATAGTTGCGTATCAGAGGTCAAATATTAATTGAATTAAGGTGGAGACAAATATTTTAAAAATTTCTTAAGCAAATTGGCTTCAATAAGCAAGAGAATAAATTATTATGGTATTGAAAATAAAAATATACCAGTAGCTATTATAGGTAACAAAAAGTCAAAAGGTAATTTATAGTTCAGTGTAATAATTCTGCTTATTGTTGTCAATTAATAAATAATAGTGTTATTTTTACTCCATAATTTCGAATATTTTTAACACATCGTCTGATAAGTCTATAGAATGATACATTAGCAGCGGCAATAATGAAAAATCCATATCAAAGTGGCAACTTCCAAATGATACTTGTCCTCCTAATTTTTAATAGGAAAAGTTTTTTCCGAAACTGAGACAGAGATGAAGCATTTTACAAGAAAGGTATCGAAATGTTAGAGAAGCGCTGGAACGATTTTATAACCTTGAAAGAGATTACGTTTATGAGTAAGTCAATAACAACTTTGCCAAAAAGCTGATTTTTTAGTTATGCTACGGACTTCTTAGCCGATGTGTTATATTGGAAAATAAAACTAGTTCTACACTATTAGTTAATTGCGAAAACGTCTTAAAAGAGATAATGTGTAACTTATATTTGTATACAATCGTATTAAAAGAGTACTAAAAATGAAGCATATAAATACGCATTTTCAAATTTGAACATTTTTCTTTATAAATTACTAAATATATAATACTGTTCGAAGTCGAATATGTTAAGAGATTTATCTGAAAATCTCTAATTAATGCTTTTCAGGTATTTTTTATCAAAGAAAGTGTTTTTTAAAAAGTGGATTTAAAAAAATTATAGATATTGAATATAAAAATATTTTTTAAATATAAATATAATTTGTTTACCTGCCAATTCTTGCTGTATGAAAATCGGTGAATCTTGTATAAAACTAGTCGGATTTAACTGCAAAAAAAAAAAAAAGATAAATAAATATATGGTCATAAGCAGGTTCTGAAATGTAAATATATATAAAAAATCTTATAAATTATGCAGTTTAAGAAAATTTGATATGATATTTTTATGTAAACTAAAATTTTAATAAATATTTTATTCAATATATTTTAATTTGATTACATTTTTTTGCTTGTATATAAAAATATACAACACTATTAAATTCCACTTATATTGTTTATTTTTCTTCACATGCCAATAATCTTTTTTAAAAACTCTTTAGACATTTTTCTGTTTTCTGCGGGCGTTACACAGTTGACTAGGAAATATTTAAGTAAATAAATATTGAAGCGTAAAACATAAGTACTCAATAAAAAAAAATGAAAATATAAAGAATAAATATCAAGTTAATAATGACGTTGGTGCATCATCATTATTGGCACGATTTTTGTTGCACTTTTGTTTTCTTTCTTATTTTTGTGATGATGTTGTAATGTTGCTGTTTATATGGCTGCGATTGCTGCTGCTTTTGCTGTCGTTGCAGCTGCACAATGTTGTCAAGTCGTCTTCACTTTATATATACAATGATTTTTATTTTTTATTAAGCTCAGTAGCCTCCAGACTTGTTTGAAAGAAAGCCCTCATTTAAGATTAATGTTCCTGTTGTATTTTTTTTCCATTTTTTTTTCTTACATGTACATGTTTTATTCTTTTAAATAAAAGGCAACTGTACATTATTGTCTTTCACGTTGGCAGTGACATGAATTTTATGCTTTTTAATTTCCATTTTTAATAAACAATATTAAATAATGTATGAAATATTAAACACAAGAACAATTATTTAATTACTTTATTTTCATCAACTCTTTAATAATTAGTATAATTAAAGAAAAAAAAAGTTGCTAAACACAGAAGCACCTTAATTCCAATTACTCACTTTGTATGTTATAATTGACCTATCCCATAAGAAAAGAATATACATATGTATGTAAATAATATACCGGTAAAAACGCGGCTATTAGCATAACTATAATAAATGCATAAGCGATCTTTCAAATATGAAAGCTAAATAAATTATTTTATTCTCAACATACACACGAATTAATATTTATATATCTTTTCTATTAAAATCACTTATTATTGGTTTTAAAAATTATATTCGTTTTCTAATAAGAAAATATGAAATATTTAATGCAACACACAAGCTGCCTCCACCAACCGCTTGTAGAACAACAATATTATTTCAGATTTGACACTTCAGTGTTGTTTGTTGTCAAAATTAAAAAAAAGGAAGTAAAGAAACAAAGCAATAACACAGGGTTGCTAACATGGTAAAGAAAAATGTACACATTTAGATTACATGTACTTTTATTTTTTATTTACAATATTTTTATACAATTTTAACAGAATAATAGAGAACGCTCTTACTTTTGTTTTAATTGACTAAGCACTGAAAAATACATATGAATATTAAAAAAAATAAAACTTAAATCATTATAAAAAACTGTGCTTAGAGTAAAAGTTTTCCATCAACGTTGAAAAAGATTGCATTTTAACTTTCACAACATTCAAAATGTGCACCAATGAGGGAAACTGGCACATGCATATTTTAAGAAAATAGGTGTGAGCAATAACCTACTAAGCAAGCCAAGTTGATAAATAATTATTTAATATAGTATAACCAACTGCAAAGTTTTCATTTAAATTTCAAATAGATTATAATATACATATAAACAGACGCGCGCTTTAGGCGCCTTTTTATAACAAGAAACTTAACCACAGAAATGTAAACAGTAGAAAGTAATTTTTGTGGTTAATAATAACATAGCCAATATTGAATAATAAAATATGTATTATTATTCTTTATTAATAGGTATGATATATTTGTTAATTGACATTAATTTCTTTTGTTTATTAATATGCAGCAAATCTAAGTTTCAGATATTCTGAAAAATGGATTCACAATTTTTATTTTTTTGTATTTCATATTTTTTTTATCACTAGTTGGAAAATACTAGAGTAATGCTCTGGGCAGATGACAACTGCAATAACAACCGCACTAGCATCCGCAGCTCCACAAGTTTGGATCAACTTTACTTTTGCGGCTGCCACAAAATTGTATGTTTTTGAGTTATGGAAAGTGGTTGTAATCTGAGTGGGGGCATAAATGCCATTCACAGCTGTTAAAGCTACTAAGAAAAACGTTAGCCAAAAACAAAAGAACACAAAATAAAAATCTGCATATTATAATTTTATGAACTGTCCTTTCCTTTTCGCTGTATATGTACATATATTTAAAAACGACAATTAGCTGTAGTAGTTTAATTTTTTTTTTTTTAAACATGGTTTTATGAAAATCCGTTAAAATCAGAAGATAAAATACGCGAAATATGGACAGTTGTATGTTTGTTTATATTATACTAGATTATATTCAACTTTCAACTTTAAATTACAATAGGCTTTATTAATACTTTTGTTATTTATTTTATTTTTTTATTTGTGAGTTAACATTATAATTAATTTTATAGTTAACTAAGAATAAGGAACTGGACTACTAGGTCTTTCTCCCTGTAATAAATTAATATATCACTATATTTCTAAATAAAAAAGAAATCCTAGCTTTCATTCTTCCTTAATTTTTTTCTATACAAAAACCAATCAAGAGGTCTGCTCATTAAAAAAAGTGAAATTTAAATACATCTCTACATATTATGGTCTAACACATAATATTTACTATAGTATAATAGATTATAAGTATACAGTCTGAGTTGATTACAGCAACATTGCATTGCCTTTTATTTTATTTATATTATAATAAATGCTATTTAAAGAAACAAATGGCGTTTACGCTCCAGCTTGATGATATGAACTTATAATTATGGAAATTTGCCAACGTCGCATAATTCAACAAACTAACGTTTAGTGCAAAACAAAAAAAAAAGCGTCCGTTTGTCAGAATATTGAGCTATTATGTTTTACAACCGAAATTAAATACACAAATAATTAGAAAAGACAAGAGTATAACATAAATGTGATAAAAAAAAATAACAAAAAAATAATAACAATAATTGATTGCACATAAAACAATTTATGTACGTACGTATGTGCATGTATAGTAAATATAAAGTGTAAACAGAGATGAAGCAGTGTGACATAAAATTAGTTGTTATTATAAAGCCATTAGGGGTTATTACAATAGTAAAACATGAGAGAACATCTCATAATGTAATTATCTTTTTTGATAAAAAATAATTTCTTTGCATTGAAATTTTAAGTATGTATGTATACAATTTAGTTCATTTCAATATTTTTGCAATATTCAAATTATGACGTCATAAAATATATTAGCAACATACACAAAGCTAGTGGCGTGCATGCCATTATCAAACAAAAACGATAAGAATGAAAATGAATACAAAACAAATTTGAATTAAATTATGTAATAAAGTGCAAAAAAAAAGAAATAAATAAAAAAAGATTAGTATCAGCAACGCATTTGCAATTAAAGTCATAGCGAACATATGAGGGAAACATATGAAAGCAAACACATTTAAAAACAAAACTGTTCACAGTTGTATAGGAAATGAAAAGTGCGGGGGTAGAGACAATACTAAGTGGAAGTAAATAATAAAAAAAAGAACAAATTAAAGCAGATTTTCAATATTAACTGAATGATGACCAACGCCTTTTTTTGTATGTCGCTACTTTTTTTTATTTAATAGTTTCACTTGTTTTTTGTTTAATTTTTGCATTTATCAATGATTTATGTTTAAAATTTTTTGAATTTTTTTTTAAGCTTACAAAAAATTCGTTTTAGGGTCAATTATGGCAAATAATTGTATGCAATTGTCATTTTATTTACTTAGCTCATATAATTCTTGAAATGATTGTATAAATAAATATTTGTTCTATAACGTGTTCGTGTTCCATAAAATATCGTTGATAAGATAATGAGCAGTGGCAACAATTTTAAAAAGAAAATTACCAAGACAAGTATTATGTATTAATTCTGATCGCAAATTTTATGATCATAATCATAACGGCTTGAAAACATATTAGTACAATTTAAATTACACTGACTACAATTAACCAGAAGTATGAAATAATAGTAATATAAGAAATTGGTCTCAAATATAGTCTCAAAATCTAGAAAGATAATGTAAATTCAGACGAGATTGAAAGCTGTTATAACAATGCGTTTAAGGTCACAAGGCAAAGACATGTCTTAAATTTCATATCATGAGAAATGGAATACAAAACTAAACCTGCGTACATATGTACATTAATATTTCTAATCGTAGTCAAATTTTCAAATTTTTATTATTTTATTTTTTATTATTCTATGCCATATGAACACTATTGTGCGAGTTACTTTATTACGCTCTTCTCGAATTGAGCCTGTTTTTATATACAGATATGTAGGGATAAAAACTTGAAATAACTCTGGATAACTGGTGCCCTCCGGTTGTATTATAGCCTAACTTAACCTATACAATGTCTAATAGTCATTAATTTTGTCTTAATGGTAATTCGTTTTCACATTAGATTCTATGAATGATATGAAAATGCTCTTAACTCTTAAACTGCTATTATAATAAAGGGTATAAAACAGTTTTAAATTCAAACCTCCGACTTGTTAGTGTAAATTAAACCATTAACCACACCTATAGCAAGACCGGCTGGGTCTACATTTCGGAATCAATCGTGCACATATAAGAGTATGTGCGCTCACCTTCATCAAATATCCCACTCTCCGCTAAGCTCTCTTTATTCTTCATAGAAGCTATTTAATCTGATTTTTTCAGATATACTTTGAAAGAACAAATTCTTTAAATAGATTAAACAATTAATTCAATTCAAATTCTACTAATTTTAATTTACTTAATATTTTTCATTTTGAACTTAATCCACTTTGTTAAAAAATTATATTTACATCGACTCACAATCTTTAGAAGAATTGTATTACCATTTTATTCTCATTGAATGGTCCTGCTTACCCTGCTGATTAGCTATTTTGCTTTGTTGCATAGACTGTACCAGTTATAGTTTGCCTGCCCCACTTTTATTGAAAAGGAACTTGTGATTTTTTTTTTTTTTTTTGAAAGCATACTTGTTTATAAATGTGTATACTGCTGCATAGACATTAACACACTTTTTCATAAATCATAAATCACTTTTGTGGTTTGTTCAATATATATTAGACAAAAACATTAATAAAATCTCTTAGCAGAAAATCAAGTTTCATCCGGTGCTTGCAATTACAAACTATGAGAGTTACGTTTATACATGCCTCTAACGTGGGCATCTAATAAGACAAGTGCAGGTTTTATGACCCAGACTACAAGATGTTGACATACAACTACAGCTAAACAAAAGTGTACCCATGTTAACACAAAGTAAACAGTGAAATCCATTACTATTTCTAAGCAAGGAATGTCTGTGAAAAAATTATTATCAACAAGTAGCTACGCTCATAAAGGTCTCAATACTTTCCAATATGATTAAATATGTAACAAATTAATATTAACATAAACATGTTAAAAGAATAGATTTTTATTAAAACAATAAATAATTACCATTTGACAATTCCAATTATTATTAATATCAACACTTTCAAGAAATTTTAAAACATTAACTAGGAAATATATGGAAGGGATATTTGAACACAATTTCTTTAAATTTTTTTGAATAAAAATTTAATTTAATCAAGAAATTTTACGTACTGCATTTATTAAATTTAAATAAAGCAAGTCGAAATATGTATATAGGTACGAAAATTAATTTTTTTAATAAATCATACACAAAACTATAAAGCAAGTTTTTTATTATTTTGCTATACAAAATTAAATTAATTTTCAAATTAAAAAAACTCATAAAACCAAACCGAAAGAATTAAAAAAAAAGCGAGAGAGACAAAGTGAAAAGGTAAAAAGGCCATACGATAGCAGCGACAAAAAATAAGTAACAAAAAAAATGACGTCATTTTAGCGGCACTATTACAGTTTATTTATGTATAAGTAAATGGGATACACAAAAAAATGAGCTGCATTCTTAATTTTACAAAATGAATTTGTTGCACATTGTTAATATTGTATTTTTATGAACGAAAATTATAGATTTGTTAAATTGATTTACGTATAGTATATAATATACCAATAATTACGCAAATAAAATTCCCCTTATTTATGTTGCGCACCGCTCGCAGCCTACATATTAACCAACTCTTTTTTGATTTGATATTATTTACAAAAATATATAATTGCTAACATCTATTAGCTTACCCGGTAATATATTTATCCGGTTTTGTATCCTCTTGTTTAGTAAATACTGTTCTAAGCTGTAGTTTTCTATAATTTGACAGATATTCGTGTTCCGATTTTGATTTTCGGTTTTATTTTCACAATATTCACTAAGTTTGAAGTAAAATGCACAAAATTAATATTTTAATATAATTAAAATAAATTTAATTTGATTTTAAAATGGCAGTATAATATTTTATGCTTTTTCAACTTCACGTCTACAACAAGCCAAATTCGTTAACTTCCAACTCGAGACTCAATACGATACTGGTTAAAAATTATATCAAATAAGAAAATAGTGAGAGACAATTAGAAAAATCGCAGTGTTACCGTATTAACAAAAAAACAAATAAAATCTGAATATCAACTTCGAAATGTTTTGTAAAATTAATTTAACACAATAAAAAAATCTATGTAATCGTTCTTATTAAAATTATATTTTTAATCATAAAGAAAAGTAAAAAATTTTGATTGAAATCTTTAAAACTACTAAGTAATAAACTATTGTAACTTTATACAAAAGTGGCATCACACAATATTGGGATAAAAATGTTAAAACTTGAAGCATACGCCCAATTACATATAGCAAAAAGCGTGCTAAAGAAAATGCAATGGCACAAATAAAAAGTCCACAAAAGGGTAGAAATGCATACTATACACTCATACATTTTTTTCTTATTACTAAAGCTATATTGTTCACATCAATATTTTAAATTTTTCTGTATTTTCAAATATTGTCAAAGGCAGATATTTGATTATGTCATACATAATTTGGTTTAAAGTGGGCGTTTGCCGGTCCAGTAACAACTTAGGAAATCAACCATGTATATCAAAGCACTAACTGAAATAAATCTATTCCTATTTATTTATATAATAAAATAAACAAACAGAGCACAAAACTCGTATAAATAATATTCCACTTACACACTATAACTTTTTTATTTTAAATGCTTTTACTCAAAACACCGCTTAAAACAAACCCGAGCCGACTAGTTAATTTTTCTGTTTTTGTTGAAGTTTTTATTCTTTTGGAATATTATAACAAGGAAAAAAGAGTACGCAATATACAATAAATTATATTCTACCTATTTCTTGATGATGTCATTCTGTCGATACAAAATGAAAACAAAGGGATATTTATAAAAACCGCACATAGATGCATTTGGTATTTGAAACTATATAATATAGTATTAAACATGGTACACAAAAATATAGTGAATTAAAATATAATACAAATTAGCACAAATCTGAATTCTATATAAACACATAAACAAGGTATATATTATAGCTGTCAGTCGATTCACAGTAAAATTAAAATTAGTAGTAGATAACTGGTAATTAGTAGTTTAAAGTCGTGTGCGAGTTTGAGTAAATTGATTGTAAATTGAGGCAAATAGTAAATTATGTCTGTATGGCAGAATGTTGGTATTTACCAGAATTTCGAGTAGAGTAAGTTAAATAAAAATTAGATAAAATTAAGTGTTACCATTGAGAAAATTTTATAATATTTTTAATAAATCAATTTGAAAACTTTTAACTAAAAAAAATAAACACGTGCAATAAATAAATATTTACATAAGCAGAGCAAAAAGTGCGTAGTAAATTTCAATTTATTTTACCTCAATTTAGTCGAACTCACACACGGTCGTAATTCAAAAATTAAATATTATTAAATTAAATAAAAACTAAAAATCAGTTTCTGAAATCTATTTACTGTAAATAGGTTTAAAAATAACATGAACATAAATAGAAGCAACTTCCTCCTCACCAGTAGTTGCTTAATATTAACATGTGGCGTGTGATTATGCTATAAGGGCAAGTATCACTAACTTTAAAACTTTCAAGCTTTCGTTATGTTAAAAATACATTTATGTCTTAAAATGCGAAAATGAAACAAAAAAATAGTTAATACGATAACAAACTGATCGTGACAAAAAAATTGAAAGCAATTTATTGGTATTTTGACCACTCTCAGCCCAAGGAAAATAACATAGTTTTAAAAATATTGATCAAAACGCTGCTTAATTATTATTATTATTCTTAAAACAATAAATACGGTTAATATTGGTTTGTAAATTAATATATAAAAAAATCAGTTTTAAAACAGATTGTAATACTCGAACATCAATTGCATAAATTGTCATTGTATGTGTTAAGTTGTTAATGAAAGTAGTTTTATATGGTTATTTCCGTTTTAAAGTAAAGTTAAGTATAATTAAATAAAATCTGTACATTCAATTTCGCTTCTTATTCACGATACTCAAAACAAGTTCTTTATTTAAAAAAATTTTCTTTTATTTATTTAGTTCATACAATTTAATAATTAAAATTTATGTGATATAAAATTCTTGTTTATTAGCCATAACATCAACAAAATTTAGTAGAGTTTTTATAGACGGAATCGGATATTTGTTAAAAATTTTAATAACGGAATACATTCAGTACTACTATTTAACGCTATGCACGTAACATATAATTAAAGAGTACGCATGTAAAACATGCTGCAAACGACAAAAAAAATTACTTAGAAAGTATGCCCTGTAATAAATATCCCTTTATTAAAAGCTACCATTATTCTTAACAAAAAATATCCCACTAGTCAGCTGTGTTAAATGCGGCTCTTGTCAAAACTGTTGAACTGAATAGTGCGTAACGCCGCGCGAAAACTTTTGTTTTAGTTTTTAAGTTAAATTTATACGTGCCGGTGTCAAAATTTAAACGTAGGGCACAGTATTGTATACGGTATGTTATATAAAATAAAATAATTGATATGTATTTTTTACAACGCAACTTTTGAAATTCACTTTGTACTTATAGACAAAGAAGCGGGAAGTAGTAACAACTTACACCACAGTCGGCAGAGGCCATTCATATACATATATAAAAAAAAATGGGTCGCAGCCGCAGCCCCTCACCTTCACACAGACGACGAGAAAAGGAACGTTCAGAACGTAGAAAAAGACGGGAGCGCCGCTCACGAGAACGCGAACGTGAACGTGAGAGAGAAAGAGATGCAGCTCCAGGCAGCTCCCGTTCATTGCGTCGACGCTCACATGACAGAGATGATCGCAGAAGTCGCAGTCGGGATAGAACGAGTCGCCGGCGTTCTAGGTGAATAAAAAGTGTAGTGTATGCCAAGAAAAAGCAGTAAAAGCATAAGTATAAAATGTACTATCATTTTTATATATTTTATTCTGCAATTAATTTAAAATTGATAACGTTAAATGCTAGTATGCACAGATATTGCAATTTAACAGAATATAGAGTTTTGCACTAGCTCGTTAAAAATTCTTGATTAATTGTGTGAAACTTATTATTAAACTTATTAGTATGGTTTAATTATCATCAACTGAATAGTTGAAATTTAATTTTTTCCAATTATATGGATGTGAATAATCAACATATTTACTACTATAAAATAAGTATTTTGGTTAAGCCCTCTTGACGCTGTTAATAGGTTGAACATATTATTAAATTGTTTCAAATTTAATTAATTACATTGTTCCGACAACGATATGTAATTTTATAATTATTTACATTTGTGTTAACTTATGCATATTACAATTATTTGAGGAAATGATTTGATTTATGTTTTATTTTAATTTTGTAACGCGTTGTCGAGATATTCTTGTATATGCAACGTAAACAGTCCGTTCTATATACACGTTAATTACAGTTCACAAAATTTGGATATGCATATTTCCATTCCACTCACTATAGTGACTATCTATAATCATCGAATTAAACAAATTTCTTCTCACCAAATCAAGTTTTCTATAAGTACAAAAAATGATTTCCTTTATTTCTTGGAATGGTGATCAAAAATTCTTAACAAAAAACATGTATGTAATGGATTTTAAGTATCATTTCAGTATAGTTTTAAAATATATTTATTAAAAGTTTTGTTATTGTGTGACGTGAAAAAAATATGGATAAAAATTGAATGGCGTAAAGTGTTTTAAGTACAACCCTGTGTGGTGAATAGTTGAAAATACACGCATACATACGAAAATGCTTGAAATTGTTTGACATTTCGGCAAAATTGCTTGTAGTTACCACGTGAAGTTAAATAAAAAAGAATTTCATCACTGTTAGAAAACTCTCATCCATAAAAGCAAGGATCGAAACAGAAATCATAATTAATCAACAAATACTAGTAAGATTTTATCAACATATAAGCAGCTTCATTGATAAAAAAGGAATATGGCTTTACGTGTGCAATTTGAAAACAATGACGATGTTGGCGTCTTCAGTAAACTAACAAATTCATATTGCTTGGTTGCAATTGGTGGATCCGAAGCTTTTTACAGTGTATATGAATCAGAATTGGCAGAAACGATACCAGTTATACATGCTTCGATTGGTGGATGCCGGATAATTGGGCGTATTTCGGTTGGAAATAAAAATGGACTGTTAGTCCCGAATTCCACAAGTGATGTGGAATTACAACATTTACGCAATTCTCTTCCGGAAACAGTCAAGGTACAGCGTGTAGAAGAGCGTTTATCAGCGTTGGGAAATGTTATAGCATGCAATGATTACGTTGCTCTAGTGCATCCCGATCTCGACAAAGAAACTGAAGAAATTATTGGTGACGTACTAAATGTAGAAGTATTTCGGCAAACTATTGCTGACAACACACTTGTCGGCTCGTACACAGTGCTTAGCAATCAAGGTGGAATGGTGCATCCTAAAACTAGTATACAAGATCAAGATGAACTGTCATCATTGCTACAAGTTCCTCTCGTCGCTGGTACGGTAAATCGTGGCAGTGAAGTTTTAGCTGCTGGTATGGTAGTAAATGACTGGATTTCCTTCGTGGGCATGAATACAACAGCAACGGAAATTTCTGTTATTGAAAGTGTATTCAAATTAAATCAAGCACAGCCGGCAACTGTCACAACCAAATTGCGTGCTGCACTCATTGAACAACTATCATAAAATAATTTAATGTTTGCAGAAATTAGTTTATATATTATACATATTAGGACAACCCTAAATTTTGTTATTCACAAACAATATAAATAAATATATTTTTTAATAATGTAAATTTTCTCAATTTAAAGAATTGAATTAACAATTGTGTTGTGTAAAATTGCTTATAGTATGTTTCCACTGGCGTCTTTAGATTAGTTAATTTTAGAATCGAGTAATTCAAGCAATCTCAAGTAAATTAACTATTCTAATGAAGCCAGTGGTAACATACTATTAAATTGAGATTCAACTGTTTTATATATGATAGAACTTCGATGAAGTGATGTAGTCTGGATATTTACAAATCTAGGAATAGAAGTCATTTTTGTTTGAAGTCAATTTTTTTAATAATAGTTGAGATATCATTTGTCTTAAAACGGATACAATCAAATTATTGAAAAAATGTGAAATAACTTATTTTTTCATGTAGTTAAAAAAGGATTTTTATGATATCGTTTTGTAAATTATGGTTTGGATTAGGTTTATGCTCAATAGGAAATATAATATAAAAATGGTACTGTGATGAATTCCGCTGAACCATAGAAGCGATGAATGGCTTAAAATAAGTGAATGAAGTCGTGTCAGACTCAGCACAGTGTTTACCGCTTAATAAAATAAAGAGCAGAAGTCATTCTTATAGATCTTTTGGGGAACTAAAAAACCCTAAAATCATTAGATAGGTGAACAAAGCTACACCACTGGGAGAAACACTCACCTTACTTTGCCACAATATCATTATTTCTTTCTTTAAGATAATCTCGACGCGGAACCAAGGTAACCAATATAACAATTATAAACTCGGGTATATATCGAGAATAGCACGCGTGGGAGCTACAGGGGCTATGAGAACATGTTTCTAAGCAACTCTCAACTTCATGCCGCTAGAATTACAAATTCAAAGAAGTTGCTCCAAAAGTGACCCAAAACAGCATAACTCCATTTTGGCTCTATTGCATAAGCTGGCAGTAGGTACGGACTATCTTTGTCTAAAAAATGAATTTCTTTCATACAATCTTCCCTTTAAGAGGATTTGAAGATACAATGCAGAGTGGGCGCACACATGCTATGAATCTGGGTCTACATTATAATGACTTTAAGTTTTGGCTCTGTGATTTAGGAAGATACTATACTTCACCTTATGTGTCAGGGTCTATGTTTAGCTAGAAGATAGTCTAAAATATGTGGAGCCCCTTTTCATATCGACCTGACAGAGCTGTGTTCCTGGAAAACTTAGGGACTTAGCCATGTCATGGCCATAGAATTGTCAGGTTGGTACATTTTTAACTAATGGTAAAAACTATAATCCTGTGGTACTACAACGGGTCATTATTTGAGTTTAAGTGGGCTTTGTGCACAAGGTCGCCCCTCTAATCTAACCTAACACTTAATGGCGCTTTAAAAACCTTCATGATAATTTATTTATCCTAACTAATAAAGTTAAGAACATACATACATTATTTATGGAACAATTTGGAATTTTAGATTAACGTTTTGAAAATAAAAATAGTATATGTAAGGAATCCCAAAATTGTAGGGAAAATTGTTCAGGGTGTAATTTGATTTTTTATTTGAACAGTGGCCTTAAATATTAACAAATTATTGAATTTGTATGTATATGATTGTTTTAATCAACGCTCTTAACGCCATAAGATTAAAAGTTTTGTTTTATTTTCCAAACAATTTTTTTTTTAAACAATTAATTATTGTCAATTATGAAATTTCAGATCGCGTTCACGTGGTCATGCGTCTACATCAACGGGTACATCATCTCGGCGTGGTGCTATAGCTGAACGACCAAAAATCAGTGAAGCTGATTTAGAAGGAAAATCACCAGAAGAAGTTGAAATGTTAAAAACTATGGGTTTCTGCACGTTCGACACGACCAAAAACAAAAAAGTCGATGGCAACGATGTTGGAGAAGTGCATGTAATCCTAAAGCGGAAATATCGACAGTATATGAATCGCAAGGGCGGTTTCAATCGTCCACTGGATTTTGTGGCATAGCAGAAATTTTATGTTTCGATACGTTGTTATCGCTGACAGAAAGCTACAAACATTTTACTACTATAATTTTTGTAAATGCTTTGTTATTTCTACATAATCAGCAGCAACAACAATGGAACGAATTTGAAATAGCAATTAAGAGACCTGCAATTTTATGCAATAGACCGGTTTACAAAATTAATATCAAAATTTCCACACCACTACCTCATCAGTATCTAATATACTTTTGTTTACTGTAACCTTATATATTAATTACATAGTTTTTAGATAAAACGATTTGTTTTTAAAACAAATCTAACTATAGGTTGTATACTTTATGGAGAGTTCAGTGCACAAAATAATTTCGATTAAAATAATTGAGTACACATATTTGAAAACTATCTAAAAATTATACACAAAGAGGTATAAAATTTATATTTTAGTATAAATCACTGTTCTTTCCTAAAAGCCTTTATAATACGTTAGAAAGGTATCGCATGAACATAATCGCCAAGTGCATGGATTGTTAACATACATAATTGACATAATTTAAAATTGTTCCAAAAATATTTTTTAAATTTTGAAAGTAATTCAATCTTATGTATCGTATCGAAAATGTTATTAACTGTTTACATATATATTCATAAGTTTTGTATACCAATGCTAAAACTAAATTTGTTATATAAATATTGATACCACTTGGCGTTTAAGTCCGTGTCTTTTTAACGTCTGACATTTTTATTGATTTTTAAATATTTAAAGTAATTTTTATAAACATATTTTTTTTTGTTAAAAAACTTTAATTTCTTGTTATGAATTAACTGCAACAGTATAGATTTGAAAATTATAAAATTAAATCAATTACTTAAAATATTTGAAAACATTTAAACACAAATCTCCCCTCAATTTTCCCCCAATTATAACTCCTCCATACGCTGCAATAGTACAATTTTATTTATTTATACATTATATTATTAATGAAAATACAGAGAAAATATATTTATACACATACACCCCATTCCACCTTACTTACCTTTTATCCATTCAACCAATTTACCAATCCAAGACAATAGACCAAATATGCAATAGCCAGGGAATTTTTATACTTTTTATACATTGTTAATAACATAAAGTTTGTTAATTATTAAATAACAGTTTAACAGTTAATTCACACGCAAGTGCCATTAAAAACTATTTATTAAAACTTGATAAATACATTCTTTGTAACTTTGTAACTCCACGTCCTCTGAAACTTTTGATTGGAGAGACGCGGTTGCTTATTGAAAAAAAATAATTATAGTACAACACAACAATACAATAGTGTGTACACATCCATTTTTAGTGAATGAATAAATATTAATAATAGTGTTTAATCTTACATATAAAAATTTAAAACACAATATCACAATAGTTTAATTTGGCAGAAATATACCAAGTTTTGGCTCTACACACAATACTTAGTTTTTAATTTACGAAATTGCAGGCATATTTTTCACTCAATATATATAATTTCTTTTTGTTTCAAATATATTTTTTTAATTAAAATAAAGAAAATTAATGTAACATTTCAAATTAAAATAGTTTTAACTTTTTAATGTACACATTTTAAGTTACCTTCAAATTATATGGACAGATATTTTGAAGTTTCTATGTCGTTGTATGACTTCGGAATATTTGCCAACAAATTTTATTAAATAAATTTATAATAAAGTGAAATAAAATTAATAATTTTTTATATTTATCAAAAGGACTAAATAGGATAAAATTATATAATCGAAATATTTTGGATTATTATTAGATATTATATGATTACCTTGGCGTATTGATACGTGCGGTAAAAAGTGTCAAATAAACTTTATAGTTTTAGTGCAATTTTTATAGTTTTAGTGTGTGAGCTGCTTAACCACGTTCACCCCTGCCGCCGCTACTATAAATAGTAATAAGATTAGATTACCAAATATTTTGAGTTGATTATATTGTTTAAAATGGTGCGATTTTTTTTAATAAGATCAGACGAGTCAGAATTCCTTAATTAGCCTTATATTTGTTTATATGCAAGATTATTCTGTTACAATCGGGACATCTAGTACCACATAATGAGATATTTTTCGCAATATGGAATCGAATACAGAATATATAGACAGGAATATAAAAAAATAGATACGTAATTAAGATCTACTTTCATTGGAATCGGAACAGTTCTACTCGTACGAAGCCTCAGTATATAAGATACATGTTGTCGTTGCAACCGAAGAGATCTATTGAACATAAATAATAGTAGAATGCAAGAGTTAGAATGAGGTAATGGCGAAAGTTAGAGCGGGAGGAGTGGCTTTCAAGAGACGGTCAATGATGATGGTTTGAGTGGATACTAATTAAAACTACACCGGCTCAATATCAAGTAAATAAACTAATTAATTTAATAGAACGGAGTTGTAAAGCAATAGTTCTTGAATAAGTGATTGAGTTTGTGCAAAACAATTAATTAGTGATGTTATGAATAGAGCTACAATCGCGGTACTCATTGATATTTTAAGCATTTATACAGTTCTGGTGAGTCTTTCTCGAGAGACCTACTTGTATTAGCAATAACAACAACACTATCTTTAGAATATTATAATTAGAACTGATATATATTTAAGGTCCTTCTTTCTAGGAGAAGTGAGTGACACTTGGTCGCTTGAGCAGACAAGTGGGTCTTAGACGTAGACTAGACTGCTCCTGAAACTCTAAGGATGACGTCGTCATCTTTAATACTTACATCCTGCCAATCTTTTATTTAATTTTTTTTGTTATGTAAATAATAAAAATTGATATTTTTATGATTTTTATTAGTAATACAATAATTTAACGCTAATTTAATACCAAACAAAATTTTTTTATTAATTATTAAAAATACATAATTATTTTTTAATTAAAAATGTGATATAAATGTAGTTTTTTCTGAACTCATTTTTGCTATATTCAAACATTTCTCTTAAAGTTGTTAAGTCTTTAGTTTTTGAGATTATTGAACAATTGAATGAGAATTTTAACTAATAAATAAATTATATTAATTACTTTTTAAAAATAAAAATTGGTAAAAAGTTTCGATATTATTAAAAATGCAAGAATATATTTTTTATTAATAGCAGTCATGTTTAACGTATTTCAATTTAATTTTATCCGTAATTAAAAAAATTATAATTATTCTAATATAATATTTAGTTTTCATTTATGTAAAAATAAGGCAATAATGTGTTGGCGGAGCACAATTACAATTGTGTGATGAAAAATGGGACATATGGTGTATACTTAATGTGTAGTATAGGTTCCCACAAAAGTGTAACTACTTAGTAAGGGCTATTGTGCGATATTCTCACTTTTCGATGTAATGTTTAATGTAACATACTTGCTAACATCGTTTAAATGCTGGCACCATCTGCGTTTTTTTTTTAAATTTATGCAATTGTCTTTCTAAATTTTTATTTAAAAAAATGTTTTTAAATATATATAGTTAATTGTTTAGAGTGTACTCTACACACTTATGATTACTGAAAAATACTCTTGTTGTACAGTTCCTATCTTCCTAATTGTTTTGGTACAAATACGTTTTTGTTTTGTTCATTGTTTTAATTTTATGTGTTTTTGGGTTTAGGAAGATAATAATATGAAAACTCAAAAATATTAACAAATTAATCTGCTTTCCTCGGTTTGCGTTTACGAATATCGTTTGTGGTAGTTGGTGATGTATCTGACGGCTCTGTTATTTTTTCTTTGTTTTCTTCTTTTACAGTGTCTTTTGCTTTAATATTCTTCTCTTTAATTTCTTCTACTTTATCAACATCATCCTTGACTTCAACAGAATTCTTTTCCTTTAAGCCTTCAGTTTTATTTTGTGGTGGTTTTTTAGCTTCTTCATCTGAATCTAAATCTATTTCTATCTCTTCCGATTCGCTATGTGAGAACTTTTCACCATCAGAGGTCGAAACATTATAGTTGTCCAAATTATCGTCATCTTCAACTTCCTCCAAAGTATCATCTTCATCTTGATCGTCATCATCTTCTAATTCATCATTAGCTATATCCTCATTAATTTCCTCACGGATACGAACCTCAGAAAAGCTTTGTCGTTGAGTTTTTTTTGGTGGAAACAATAAGTCAACAACACAAACCAACATTAGACCTAGAGCTGCACCAACAAAAATTGTTGCAATTGCGAAAAGTGCGTAAGAGCCCCAAGTTGGGAGGCCATATTCATCTTGCAAGCGACCATTGAAATCCTTAAATGATTTTTTAAAAGTCTTTATAAGTATTATATTAATATATTGTTCAATTTTTATATAATAAATATCTAATATGAATTATTTTACAAATTTGCTAGTTATTTTTTTAATAATATTCTAAATTGATAAGAAACTTAAGAATTGTGTTTAAATATTAGTAAATACCTTCTAGAATTCTAGATTTGCTATATTGACCTTGCTTTATGCACTTTTTATTTATATAGATATTAACTTATAGGTTAATTTGCAAGGTTTTTGAGCTTTTATATCATATTAAATAAAAACATTAAAGTTAAAACATGCTGATAACCTCATCTTTGAAATAGCATAAATAGTAGTATATCGCAGATTTGTTTTCGTTACACAAAATTGAATAAACATAAATTTTAAAATGCATATGTTTACTTTAAAGAAAAAGGAGTATTTTCTTTCATAAATTTAATTCAAGTATTATAAATTTTAATTTACAGATTAAAATGATATTTTGTTTATTTTAATATAAATATTATCAATTAAGTTACTTAATAAATAGACATGAATTCGGTGTAATTTGTAGTCTTACTATGCAATCTTATTTTATAAATTTATTATATTCGATTCTTATTATCTGAACATATGGTTCAATAATTGTGGCTTTGTAAAATAATATTAAAGCAGATTAAGATATTTTACTTATCAGATTTTCAAGTCTAGTGACCTTTATTGAATGGTTTTCAATGGCTACATACATACATAAAAAATATGTATTATAAACATTGAACAACAACTATATATCAGCATTAGTATAAAAAATTAAAATCTTATTCTTATTTATACATATTTTTTTTAAGTAAGAATCAATACCATAACATGAAAATTTTTTTACAATATATTTCAATAACAATATTTAATTTACCTTTAGCATGTGGGAGATCTTAAAGAAGTAGGAAAGAACTGACATATGAATTGTGTTTGGTTTCTTCCAGGCTGAGATTGTATCCAGTTTTTCCCATTGACGTTGTTTAACAAAAAGCATCAAAGCATCACCCTCGCGAGAACCACGATATATACGAAAATCACCATTATAAACGCTTAAATAATTAAAAGGAACATACAATAAGTAAATACATAATAATTTTAAGAAATCAATAAATAAATACATACACATTCTTAATTAATATATTGTAATAAATTCTCACATTCTTCTTTATTAATACTTACTGAAAAATGGTAGGCAAGGCGGTGACAAAAAAACGACCACTTAATGATGGCGAGGTTGTAACATCAATTTTTGCCACGTTAACATTGATTTCCTGAGCCGACTTTGCAAAACGTTCCCAAGTAGGTGCCAAATTTTTACATGCTGGACACCAAGGGGCATAACTATCGTATATATATAAAAATTAGCAACAAATTTAAAAAAAACTAGTATTAATTAAATTATTTTATAATAAAACTTTTAATATAAGATGGGCGTGTTGTGATAATTAGTCACATCAATACTTTGGCTTTGACATAAGTTGTCTGCCAATGAAAAAAAGATTGTAGTACCTACACGTGTAAATTTGTTTTAGGAGTATGTAACTTTTTAAAATATGTACTACTTACAATTCAACCATCCATTCACCATTTAACATGCGATCCCAATTGCTTTCATGCAGATCAACTATGTGGTTTTGTTCTTTACCCAAAGCGCCTGCATTGCCAAGAAAGGCTAAAATTCCAACAAACGCAAAGCACGTCAAAGGAACGTGATGAAGATTGAAATACTTTATCATGGTGTGTTTTTTATTGAATTTTCTTGTTTAAAACTAGAAAACAGAAAAACAGAATACTTTTTTAAAAAATTACTCTCCGGCTTTTCGTTTAATGTAGAAAAAATGACGAATTCTTCTATCTTCTGTTGAACGTCACTTAATAGAAATTTTGTATAAAGAACAAGAAAAAATTTTAATTCAAAGTTGTATTTTACAAAACAAAATTTTAATGTTACATACGCAAGGTTGCTTTGTCTGTATAAAAATTTAGTTTTCTATATTTAATTTCTATGGTTAATTTTTCGTGTGATATATTATTGAGTGAAATTTTTCTAATAAAAAATAAGCTATTTTAAAAGTTTTAAAGAATTTTCTTACACATAAAAGCTTTTTCACGTGCAATAAGTAACTTATGTTAATGGAAACAACAAAATCTTAAATTCGCTTAACTAACTTACTAAGTAAGCGAAAGAAACATGGTATTACACTCGAGATTAATTTATAACACTCTAAATATTTTACCAGAGTAGCAAGCAAAGAAGAAACTGAGAGTTATACGAATCCAGTTTTGTTTGTAATTTTAGCTGTTAAAAAAAACAACACCAATTGACACCTCAAATTACAAACATGACAACTAAAATTAAAAAAAAAACTCACGTCCAGTAGTACGCAAAAAATTGTATATAAAATTTTTTGGATTATCCAAATAATATTTAAAATTTTGTTTAACGAGGTGAAAATATTACGCAGTACAAAAATATTTAATAATTTTCCCCTCCCGGTTTTGTTGTTTATTATTAGCTACATCGATTTTAATATTTTACAATTCTAGTAAAATGTTAAAATCGATGTTTGATTGCTCTAAAAATGATTGATTGGGCAACAAGATTTGACAGATCAAGAATAAATCTAGATTAAATTCAGATTTACCAATCGAAAACGTCTTAAAAAAATCAAGATTCAATGACTTCTCACGTTTCCCTTTTTTTCTTACTTCGGGAAAAATAATCAAATGCTTTATTTACCATAAGGTACAATGGATTAGCTGCTTTGATTATTTAAAGAAAAACTAAGTTAGCCTTTATGTCTCACTTAATTTTCGTTCTGTTCTATGCTAATGCTACAGCACCAAATGCTGTTTAAATAAATTCGAACTACAGTAAATAGTTAATAAAAGCACTTATTAAAAGAAAAATAAACGTTTAAAAAATTTTCAAAAAATTACTTACTACTTTAGATTTTCAACTGAAATGTAGGTCTTATGTTTAACAGAAATTTGCAACTTAGACAAATTTTTAATTATAGATTAGTTTTTATTTCCGAAATAGATTTTACTTAAAATGTTTCTGCGATAGAATACCTCTCCAGTTATAGTATCATCACTTATTAAAAAGTTGTATTGTAATAAACAAAATTTAGTAAAGCAAAGTTGTATTAAAAAAAAAGTGTAAATTACAAAGCAATGCATACTTTATGAAAATTATTTTTAATATTAACTTAAACATGAAATACAAAATAAAATTAATATAACATATATAAATAAAATTAATATAACACCATGTCTGCGTTGTAAACTTCATTTATCGAAAATTTGTACTAATTTGACCAACATACACGGAAATAAGAGTAAGGGTACTTTAGTACTTAATTTAGTATAATAATATACTGTTAAGTTTCAATCGGCAGAATTTATTGAGTGTTACAGGTATCAAAAAATAATCCACCAAAATTTTTTCAAAATTGGTTTAAGTGTGGCACGGACCATTATAGCCAGGCCATAAGGTGAAATTAGTTAGTGACTGTTGTCGATAAGGCACTACAATTAACATGTTGAAATATATTATTCACCAGCAATGAAATGCATAACATTTTAAATTTGCATAGAGGTATGCATGTTATTTTAAATAATTTTATAAAAATTTTATGTTTTTGAAAGAATACTGAAAATTCGTTTTATAACTACTAATGTATGGTAGAAATACTACAGATGTTAACATTTTTTTATAAATTTATGATATTTCCTTTTGACTAATATAGAAACCAAATCAAAATCTTGACAGATATATGTGGAAATTAGTGAAACCTATTTGAAATATTTTTTTCTTTTTTTCTGATCAAAAATATAATATAATAATTCATGAGCGGGCTAATTGATCATTTAATTAAAAATACAAAAAAACTATAATTTATTATTTATATTTAAAACAAATTATTTTATTAAGATATTTTCCAATATTTCGACTATCTTCGATAGTCATCTTATATATAGCTATAGCGGGAGAAATGAAACCTATTTATATATTATTGATAGTTCCTTTTATGTATATTTAATAGAATATTCCTACAAATATATTAATAACCTATATGTTCAATAGAAAATATGTAAATAATAATGGATTATATAAAACAACTCTTCAGGTGATAATTTTTGTTAAATATGAATTAATAATATATTCTATATATCACATTTTCATAATTTTATTGTTTCGCATTTTTTGACAAAAAATCATTTTAACTTTTCCTTTTTTTTATTCTGTCTTGTATTTCATAGAAATGATAGGCCCATTCACACAGAAATTAACTAAAGAATTACCTAACCCATTTCCTCAATATTCTTCAATTTAAACGCGTTTTTGTCAATTTTTAGTTTGCCGAAAACATTGTTTAGGTAATAAAATAAAATGAGGCAACATATTTCTTTGAAAATAAATTCAACTATTTATTTAGTTCTACCTGGTTTTTATATTTACTTAGGAAAAATAAGCGTATTAATTGACATATGTATATGGTTACAATAAAAACTATGTATTTCTAAGCTATTCCAGATGTTACAATTGATATACAAAAATTCTTAAAAATTTTTTACTATTATCTATTGTATTATATATAAAAAATTTAAAAACGTTGTGTTTCTTTTGTATTTTATTGATTTTATAAATACAAATGGACTATTTGCAATAAAGTATTATATTTATTTAATACGTCAACTGATATGAAATATGCATCAATAAATGCATACACAATATACATATTTAAATGAAAACAATATTTTTTCCTCTTCTTACACAAACAAACAAAAACAATACACCTTACAAATATTTTCAAATGGTTTTGCTCGATAGACATTAGCATACACTAAAAAAATACTACCTTCGTGAAAAGATTGTTAAAAAGTTCACTACCTTCAGAAAAAGAACAGCACAACGAGTACATTGAAAATTTTACATGAGATTTCGGAAACAGTACATTATTTTAGTGTTTCGGATATGTCGCTATCATTTTTAATGTACTATTTGTGTACTGTACTGTTTATTTTCGTTCACTGTTTATAACACTTAATGCAATGCGCCGTCGATTATAGCTGGACAATTAAATATTCGTATATTGTTTGGTTCGTTTATATTAAAATTAATATTATATAAAAAATGTAACATTAGGTAATAAAGTTAAATGTTATTAAATTAGATTTAAAAATATGTTATTATTAACAACTATATATTATTATTATTTGACTATAGTCTATAATCATTTTTACGGTATTGATTCTATGTCCTATTAATTTATATTGTTATATATCTTTATATGACAGCATAATAAAAGTGCAAGTGTATAGTTACAAAACATAAAATAAACAATTGAGATGACTATTGAAGGTGGTCGAAACATTCGACATGTTAATATATACTTAACATTAAATCTGCAGTAGTACCCTGAAAATTATTATAGACTATAGTCGAAATATATATTTATATATTTTAAAGAAAAACAAAATAAGTTTCTTAAAAATGTTTTTAAAAATTGTGTATGAATTAAACAATTAATAAATTATATAATTAAAATTTGGTCATTGGAACGATTAATTATAAAATGTTATAAATCAATGAACCGAACGTAATTCTTTTTAATAACAATTGAGTTGATATAATAGTCTACAAAAAAAAACATATAAATTTATATAATTTTTTTATCATTGAAATAAGCAATTTTTTAGAATAAATAATATAAATTTTTGATGCACGGCATAACCTCTAACACAATTTTAATTAAACTATAAATTATTAATTTATTAATTATATATAGGTCCGAATATGGACCTAAAAAAGGTGAAGTTGAAAATAATCGTAGGGTTTGAGGTGATGTTTGTGCATTTTCTAAAGCGCGATGCAGACTATCATTTTTGTGTGTCACACAAGTTGCGTTCTCTTGCTCAAATTTCTTCTAGCGACCGAATTTGAACATGTATGACACGCAAGAGTCGTCATTCACGCAAAATTTTTGAAGCGTAAGGTTGTTTTACGCATGCTGTAAAAATTTGTGTGAAATTTAAAGTAAAATTATAAAATCGTAAAAAAAATTTTTAAGAAATTTTCCATAAATAGACAATACAAATAATAAAAGAATTTACATATATTCATTGTTTTTCAAGACATTTGATAATTTCCATGTTTTTGTTAGTTCAAGATTATTAACATTTAAAATTTTTTTATTTTAATAACAGGTTTTAACAAAGAAAAGTATATTTAGAATACAAAGTATTATATCTTAAATTTAGATTATTAATTAATTGTTATTATGACATATTTGCAATATTTTTTTTAATTACTTACAATTACCTCTTATAAATTTGTGTTAAAAGTTTAATTGTATATTAATTTTTTATAAAAACTTTTTATATAAAAATTTATATATTTTTAATTAAAATACAATTAAATATTTAACACAAATTTATAAGTGTAATTTTAATAATAATAAATAATAATAATAATAAAAATTATAAATACATTAATAATAAAATAATAAAAAAACGTATTAAATTTATATTAGAATTCTACATGTATCTGCTTACGATAAATTTGTAAGGTAAAAATGCTCTTGTATGACGTATGAATGTTTTACGGTGACAAACTAACATGCACAACATGTTGGCGAGAGCTGCTCACCAAACAATGGTGCAGATTATCATTTATGTGTGTCATACAACGTTTTTCTCTCTTGTATGACACACGTAAATGATACTCTGCACCGCTCGTAAAGTTAACTCACTTCAACAGTTATTAGTTCGGTTCGATCCGTTGATGTGTTGAGTTGATTTTGTTCTTTTAAATTCGTGTGGAATATTTTAAAATTCAAGAAAATATTATTGTGTAAAAAATGTCGGAATTCGGTGATGTTATTCTAAATTCTGGTGATGTGAACCAAGTCATTGGTATTAAAATATATTTAATTTATATAATAAATTATAATGAATATATATAATATTTATATATATATATTTTTGTTATTACATTAAAGATGCTCGCAAAAGCACACTACTTAGTTAAAAAGCAGTAGTTATTTCTGTAAAAGTTTTTTAAAGTATAAATTTAATTTGCATAGAATTATATGTTTATTAATGTACATATCTTAAAATTATATAAAATAAAATAATTACAGTGATATTTCATATTTGCTATATTATATAAAAAATTACTAAACATTTAATTGAATTCATACATAATCAGAGAAATCCCCTTTTTCGAATAGCTGATCTGATTGGACGTTTTGTAATGGATTTGTATCATTCTTGCTTGATTTCAAAGGAAAGTGGCTGGGTAATTGAAAAACGCATTGCACGTTCTAGATTTCAGAGTTTTATTAAGAATAAAGAAAATGCTGCGATAAGCGAAACATACAAATTGCAATATACAAACGTAAGTAAATATATCTTTATACATACAATATGGTTCTATAACTTAAATAAAATTTCTTTTTTAAAATTAATTATTATTTCAATCTATAGTTCAATAAAATTTAATTTAACTGGGCCTAATGTCGGTTATTTAAAAATTGAATTCTTAAAATTTGCTTATTAAAAATACACTGTCTTAATATAAATATGGAATCAATAACCATTACTGCTTCGTTGTCCATTGTGACAAATTTATTACAAAACAATCTCTGCTTATTCTTTATTTAAAAAGGTTTTAAAGTAAATTAATGAGTAATTTTAATTTTATTATAAATTATATCAGTACATATAAGAAATATTATAAAATGTGGATTACATTCCATTGTAACTTGGTACTTATAAATATAAGTAACTTAAGCACAATTTTCTATAAAATTATTATTTGAGGAATCATTATCATTCCTATCAAAATTCTATAAAATTTTTTACTTTAAAATTATCCTTTTGTTTTATTTATTATTACTTCCATACTTCGTTAGGAGCTTAAGAAGTCTACAAAACTTTTTTACTGGTTTCTATTTTGTGTTTTTGCTCTTAACTCGTTAAACGAATTGCCCGTCTCCTGCTAAACTGTCCTTCTCCATGTCATTGCTGGTCTTCCTCTGCGTCTAGTCTCCTAAGGGTTCCAAGTAAGTGCAGCATGTGTGATATTTTCATAAGGCTTACGCAGTGTGTGTCCAATCCAATACTTCAATTTCAATACTTCAAAACAGTGAACTAGACAGATCTGTATAGCTGAGATGTACAACATGTAGATCAAGTACAAAAGTACTAGATTTTTTGAATAATACCTGATTTATTTTTGTGTAGTCACGAATTGTAATGAAAGTCGAAATTGTAACTGTTATATCTGTTTGGATTGAGCTGAAAAATTCAATATACAGTCGGACTTTCATAACTCGAAGTACTATTTTGCAGAGAAATGGTTCGACTTATGGAGACTTTGTGTTAGAGAATTTTTTTATTTTTTTTGTAGATGTAAAAAAAACTAGAATTACATTTTAAAATATTTATTTATTTATTTGAAATCAAATACAGCGCAGATGTTATAGTGAAATAAAATATTCAGAAATCAGTGTTTGGGATTTTTATTTCTTTTTTTATTTTCAATAAAAAGAGATTCGAATTTTTTGAAAGCCTTATAGAGATCACCAGTTGTAGTATCATTCGTTTGCAAATAAAAATTCAAAATTTTGAATGTCTTCTACTTCTTTACTGAAATGCTGATAAACAATTTCATTCACCGAATCCTCATCAACATTTTCCGTTGCGCTTAGAACCAGATCCACTAATTCAGAGCAATAATGCTCAATAATACCGTTATCTGTAGGAAAGTTTGATGTGCAAATTTTATTGTCAAGCCCAATATAAACATTAAAAATAGCATTGGAAGTTATATTATTTACTTTAAAAGGCGCTTAATAATTTTTTTCCATCAATTCACAGTCTTCATCAATGTTATTCAAAAAAACTAAAGGAATATGTCGTCCTATTCGTCCCATGTAGAAAATTGGCTAAATCCAGCTTTTTTAAAGCAGTGCGCTATCGTTTGACTACTTACATCAATATATCAAGTTTTTGTTACATGATTTATGTAATCTATAAGTGTAATATACTGCTTTTTGTTTGCTTCTAGGTATACGCTTTAGTGCTTCTTTTACGATTCTGTTGCGTTAGTTAAAATTTACTTTAAGTTTTAAATTACTTCCCGATCAAGCGATTGCAATTTAGAGATCATATTTGGCGAAAGAAATACCAATTCTATGCATAAACACAAATGTCAGCGACTAGCATTTGCACAAAGAAGCAACATAATAAAGAAAAAGTTAAACATTTGGTTTGGAAAAAGGGACTTCCCCTAATATCAAATTGGATTCATATTTAAAACAAAAATTCAACTTATAGAATGCACTTGCCCATATTTTTATTGGCACGTTACAATATTTTTATTCGAGTTATAGAGAAATTCGAGTTATAGTTTTTTTTTAATCTATTAAATTACAAATTATTTTGCTCATTAATTTACAAGTTATTTAACTATGTATGTTATTATCTTCAACAAGAAATTACATGTTATCTGTTATTGAAATTCTCATCGTTGAAGTTAGTTGCAATATATAATTGTTTATATAATCGTTCTGGATTTTTTGATTATAGTACTTAATTGTGAAAAGCTTATGAAATTTGAAATTAAAATTAATAAATCTTTAAACACAAACAAATATTTTATGTTTACGTTGCATTCAAGTACAATATATGTACACACACATACGTATGTCGCTGATTTCTCATCAGCAACTTAAAATATATACACCGAAGTTACAAAGAAGGGTCCAATTTCTTGAATTGTTTACTGATTTAATAAACTGTTTAAGCGCATGCATTGACGTAGACTCCGCTATTTTATGGATAATAAGAATGCATGTTAACGTATAAACAATCCATTTCTTCTATATATCAGAGTAACAGGATTAACGTCTAACGAAATCAAACATATTATAAATAAACAAAAAATCATTAGTTAAAAAAATAATACAATAATAAATAAACAATAATATAAATAAACAATGTATATAAATATTATTACATATTATTCATTCTGTTATCTGTGATATATGTATATTGTAGAATAACAAATTTGCCACTTTTATGGTTACACATTGATTGGAACAGCTTAAAACGTAAAAAAAAGATGATGCTATTCTCCCTGATGAACTTGATGGAAAATCTCATCAGCACATTCTCATAAACACGTGTGATCCAACAAATCAAACTGGATTAGATAATCAAGCTAGATTAGATAATCTAGATAATCAAGAACTTAGATCAAGAACTTAAAATGTATTGATTGAATCATGCTTAATCAATAAATGCAGCAATTAAAAAAAAAACAAAAAAGGGCTATGGTTATAATGAACTTGATAAGGAAACTATAGTGCATCCAAATGGTTATGAATGTTTAAACAATAACATTTTTGGCAAAAGTTTTTAAATTTAGTGTAAGGTAGCACAATAGCGATGTAAGTTTTTTCAAGAATAATACGTCGAATACGTCGATTATTGTCAACAGAATATACTATTTGAATTGAATTACATTGAGTCATTATTCAGTATTCGTTTTTTCAAAATGCATATTGTATATCAAAACACATACAGTTAAAATTAACGAAACTAATTATAAAACAACTAAAGATAATAACATTGTTAATGTAAAATAGTTTTGCACTTATTAAATTTTAGTAAAAAAATATTACAAGGGAAAGTCCCGTTCCTAAATAAAAGCAAATGTTCGTGGAAATTCTAGTTAAAAATTGATTGATAAGCGGATTGTGTTAGAAATTGCAATCATTAGTTCACATCCGTACCTCGAATAAGTGAGTAATCAAAATGCATATGTATGTAAATATACTTTTCTATATTAATATTAATTACTATTGTTTGCAATAAATATACACACACGTACACATGCTTACTTATTTAAATAAATTTACTTATTATAATAATCACGTTTTTAATATTCATTGCTGAAGAGTTTTTTAACTAACATACAAAATTTGTTTCAATATTATTATAATTTTCATTGCACTAGTATTCTTTATTGGTTGCAGGTTAATATTGTTGGAAACAGTCTTTAAGCAGAGGTTAAAAGAATGTTGATACTTAGTCTTATGTTCATTTATTCTAAGTCCTGATGCACACTGGCTTTCTATCGCTTTCTTTGTCGCCCTCTTCTTCTGCCCGATCCTACTTTGTTCTCATAAATCTTATGCGGTAGAGTATTTTAAGCGGCAATATACGCGCATTAAACAGTTACCAATGTATCTAAGGTGGCTTATACATAAAAATTATTATGTTAAGAACATGTTTTTAACATACATATATGCTGTATATATAAATTATACTTACAACATATACCATAAACTGTTCTCTTCGATTCGAAAAAAGTACAAAGAGTAAAAGTGAATTTTAAAAATTTTTTCACTGCAAAATCTTGATGTAACGTTTAAAACCAATTGTATTCGCTAAATTATAGAGAAGTTCATCTACCATATAAAACTAGCACTTGTTGAAATTCAAGAAGTTCATCAATAAGCTATAACCATACTGATAGCATTCCTTCTGTGACACATTCTTCGTTGGGTGTGATACAGTGTTCACAACCTCTAAATTAAGCAGTGATTATATGACGCTCCAATACTGAAAGTAAAAAGTTTATAATTAATGTATATAATAGATATTGTAAACGGGTATTTGAAAAATCTATATCCTATTCAACTGAATATGATGCTCTGGGTAGGCGTATATGTAAGTATTTTAATTCTTTCTCTTATTAGGGTGTTCAAACATAAACCATAAAAATTTGATGGATTTTATAAAGAAAATAGAATAGACATGGTTCTTTGTGGAATAATTTATTATTTTAATAGAGAAATAAAGAATTTACGAAAGCTTCAACTTAGCTCATGTTGTATTAGAGCAAAAATTGTATTAGTCCAAAGCTATACTTTATTCTCTTATTTCAAAGTTTGTTCTAAATTTTTTTGTTTTGACAGAATTTTATTAGATACTTACAATATGACTGAAGGAAGTATAAAGTGAATGCTGGACCTTAATTTTTTTATATTGTTTGTATTGCTGAAGAAGAAATTCATAGTAAATACTATTTTGTAATCCTAAATAATATTAATAAACGTTTTTAATATAAATAATTATTATAACTATTTTTAGTTAATGTAAGATATTACTAATCTTAGCACTAATTTTTGCTTAGCTACCTTGCTGTCAATCAATACATGACAATAAAAGTTACATACATTATTTACTAAAGTAATTAAATCATTATGATTACATTGACTATATACTGCCTTACCTTGTTAAACTGAATTCACAAAAATTACGAATTTAACACCGTTACTACGCTAATGCAATCAGTTACTGCTCAGTATAAGAGTCAAAATGACAACTAACATCACTAAAAAACGAAAGAATAATATTAAAAAAAATTTTTGCTCGAATTATCTATATACATTTTCAATTTTAAAAACATTTAATATAATTATAATATAAATAGACACAGCATTGTACATTTTAATTACAATTAAAAATTTGATAATAACATATAAAGAAATAATATATCAACAATCATTTTTATTCATAGCTGGATTTTTTACTTCGTAAAGAAAAATTTCTTAGATACACTCCACCTCGGAGTTTACACTATAAAATAAGTCGAAATGATCTATTTGATTTTCGACGTAAAATAATTGAAAAGATGGACGAAAACCGTATTTCTGGCGACAACTCTGGTCTAAATGGAAATATTTTTGATATGTCGTTAGATTCTAAAGAGATTAGTGGAACTAAAAGTGATCAGGGTTTGGATCCTGCCTTATCGGGTATGTAAAATTTTTACCTTTTGAATTACACTAATATTTGAATTTGAACAGCTATTCAAGAAGTTGATCCAAACAGCAAACATCATGTTTTAAATTATGAAGGAAAAAAAAAACAAACATCCATTCAAAATTATCATATGACAAATATGGGTTGTTATATATGTCAAGAAAATTTCTCCAGTCATGGTGAATTCGAGAAACATGTTCAAAAACATGGCGATGAAACTGATTTTGAAATTCTTGAAACATATGAAAAGTTGTAAGTTTAAAAGAAATTAAATTAAATTACATATATTTGATGAAATATTTTTAATATGTATTTTTATATATGTAGCGATAATTCAAATATAACGCTGTCGTACCAGCTGTGCAAAAATTCACAATTTTTTTTATTTACATTGAAGACAAGCTTAAAAAGAATTACTATTGAAAAAATAATAATAGTACAGTCGAAATGTTTTAGTTACATTAAAAATGCTTCAGTACCATATGAAATGCCAGAGAACGGTTGTGACACATTCTACGTTGACTCCAACATATTTCGTATATATGTCGAACAGCCCATTATGATTTGTTATCGTTATGAAGGCGATATATATATCGAACAACATCATTTTTTGGTAATTTATTATTATTTATTTATTATTATTTTTTGGTGATTTATTATAATTAAATTGAGGACATGTTTAAAATATATCTTGAAATATTTTAGCGGTACGAGGAGTTTCCAACTCCTTCTATAATGCTTAATCCATATCGTTTAACTGATAAAGTGTAAGTTTTGAAATTTATTTTGACTATCAGATTAATTATAATATTTGTTTCATTTTTAATATAGTACATTCAAGGAGATAGTATTGTTAGGCAGCTACATTCCAATAGTTGAGGTGCGTACAGCCATGAGAAGTGTGAATTATTTGGATTCTTTGCGTCAAAACTGTCCACAGTTCGATGAGTACATAAATAATAATAAAACACTAAATGAAAACAATATATGTCAAGTTCTACGTACTCTACTTTACATGGATGATGTGGACACGCTATTCGAATATTTACGGTATGCACAAAGTAAAGTGCCATTAAAGAAACGACAGATGGATTTTACACTAAAGGTAATTGATATATTTTGTTACATATATATCTATCTATCTGTGGGACAAATGTATAAATTATTTAATGTATTTATTATTTAAAAGATATTATATATGTTAAAAAGCGTATTATGTTATATAAGCCCATTGATGATCTTAAAAACAATTTACAAAATATTTTTAACTATATTTACGTAATGTCGAAATCTATCGAAGTAAATCGATCTTAATATTTATTGAAATTTATAAATACTGTTGTTTTCTAGATCATGTTGCTGTCTTTATTGATCGAAGGTTTTATTTAATTTATTGGGTTGGTTTTTCTTTCGAAGTTTAGCTTGCAATATTTTTGAAATTTCTTATAGATCGATTAAAATTGAATAATATATGATTGTACCGTGAAGACACATGCTTTTATAAGATTATTATTTAGTTTTCCTCATCAGTGTCTAAAATTGTATTCCACGGAAGAACTAAAATAGTAAAAATAATTTTAAAATCACGTTTTAGAACTGAACTGGAACTAAAACCAATACACAAAAATGATATTTTTGTCGCAGCGAAAACGGGAATTGAACCGAAAAAGTATCGATTTATATCAGTTCAGCACTATAGAAAGTAATAAATTAAGTGTAACTTTAGTGCCCATTAAATTTGATTTAATTTAAAGTCTAAATCTGAAGACACTTCAAATATTTGAATTTATTTTGGATGCATAGGTATATATATAAATTTATACAATAGAAATAAATTTATTGAAGTTAAATATGACGAAGTAACCATTTTTAATTAGAAAATGAGTAAATAAGCATACAGTCAGACCTCTCTATAACGAAGTCGTTATAGAAAGGTTAAACATATTTTTTTTTGTTTGGCTTTTTGCTTGCATTTTACATATTTATTTTAATAATATATTTAATTCATGTTTATTCAAATAAACATATATATATATATCATTAAAAACGTTAATCATATATTCGTTTGTATATAGAAAAATTATTTTTTATTAGTTACTATTTTATATATTATTATTTATATATTAAATTCTTATAATTTATATTTTATTTAACTCGAGAAAAGTCTGATATACTTGCTTATTTGGACATTTTAATTTTTTCCTTGTCAAGGAACTCTTCAAACAAGTTAATTGACTCAAAAATTACTATACCTCTCTAAAAATTCCCTTCCTCTCGTATTAAAAGCGAGAGCAAACACACATGTTTGGTGATCACTCATTCAAAAAATTTTACTTTCACAACATTATGTGCCTTTTCCTATTATAGAGAGGCACTATATAGAGGTTTATATTTATGAAAATATTTGAAAAATCGCTGCGTTTTCAATAAAATTTCTGATAGAGAGAAATTCTTTATAGGGAGGTTTGTTATAGAGAGGTTTAACTGTATTTTAATTAATTAATTTTTTTAATCAGCTTCAGATATTCTTTGGTTTTATTAGTTCGTACATGAATGGCCCAAAAAAAAACGTTTTCTGTAAATGTTATGAAATCGTAGACTAGATATACTTTGCCATGAAATTATAAATTATTTAATATACTTACTAATTTGCTATCTTACAGTTGCAATTACCTCAACGCATAGCCAATAGCGGACAGATATCTCCTTATGATGAAGTCGTCGTAATAAACGAAAAAGATCTTAAGAACTACACTACACAAGATAAGATAATTAACTTGCTAATGCAAACGAATTTTGAGTTAAGGGCTAACAATAAAATGAGAATTATTCATATTGGCATTATTAATGAAGTATTCAATAAGCGAATTAAAGTTTCTATGCGTTCTCCCATACCCAATGATGCATTATACATGGTTTTCATTCGACCATCTCGAATGCCAATTCGATATCAACACAGGGCTTTGGATTTGCTTACTAGTAACGGAAAATTAAATAAAAATTTTGAAGATATTCTTTTTCCAACTAAAATACAAATAACATCAACTTCTCATATAAAGTAAGTGAAAATAATATAAAATTTTGGAATTCAAAATATTTTATTAAACATATATCTTTCTTTAGAAGCATCGATTTCTTCAATAAGAACGTATCCGAAAATCTAGAACAAAAAGACGCTGTAGAAAATATAGTCAATATTACACACACAAATGCTCCATATATTATTTCCGGACCACCAGGTTTGTGAATAAGAAATATGTTTTGCTAATTAGAGAGATGACCGCGAAACTTTTCTTTCAGGCACTGGGAAAACAACACTTTTAGTTGAAGCTATTTTGCAATTGGTTCTTAAAACATCAGATACAAAAATTCTTATTACTGCAGGTTCCAATAGCGCATGTGATGAAATTGCTAGTCGACTGTTAAAAGTCATATCTACTGTTGAACAGTCTCACCTCCTAATTAGAATTTATTCTAAATCAAACGAGGATAAGCGATATGAATTGGATGACTCTTTGCTGGATTACTCCAATATGTACAAATTCCATTTCTATCCTGACATTGCTTCCTTGCACCAGTTTCGCATTATAATTTGCACATTAACAATTGCGGGCAAACTATCAACTGGAGGATTTGGCAAAAATAGTAAAGGCAATGGGGTATTCACACATGTTTTTATCGACGAAGCTGCAACTTCAACGGAACCAGAAACATTAGTAGGCATTGTCGGAATTGTAACAAAAACAACTCGTCTAATATTATCTGGTGATCATAAACAGTTGAGATCTGTTATAAAATCCCAACGTGCAGTTGACATGGGTCTTAGCATCTCGTTAATGGAACGCTTACTAAATCGTGAATGCTACAATAATGATGAAAATAAAAAATATAATAAATCGATACAAATTCAACTAAAGCGCAATTTCCGATGTCATCCTCAAATTGTAGATCTATTTAGTACAATGTATTATGACAAACAATTGTTAGCACAACCTAAAACTGGTATTATAGAATATATATGTATATTGATTTATTTATATGTTTCAAGTGTAAATATTATTTCTTTTTCAGATGTATATTTTATGTGCCAGAAATGGCATAAAAGTCCAAATAAGGAATATCCTATAATATTTCATTCTGTTTTTGGAAACTGCAGTCGAGACAATAACTCTTTAAGGTAAGACTATTAACATCTTTTTGTTGAATGCAAAGTCAAAATCTCAGCTACAAAAAAATTTAGGATTTATAAGCCATTAAAGCAAAGTAAATAACCTATCCATTCATGATAATATGTTACATGAACCTTTTTTTCATATTGTGACAACTTAAAGTTATTAACTACAATAAATGTCGATTAATTTGTGACATAATAACATACAACAGACAGAGGTCCAGTTAAGTAAATATAGTGCAAATATGTTGCATTACTCTTCAAACAGGAACCCAACACACAGATCTGGATCATAATAGCGATTTTAATTAATTAGCGATTCTCACAAATTGCCTCTGAAAAGACTTATAAAAGAACATGAAAAAGATATATAATATCTAACATGTTGTTGTTATTATTGTTGTAGCTTGGGCAGATCTTTTTAGGCAGTTAAAAAAAATAATTATAAATACGAATACATTAACACTCAGAGTACACTCTTAAAAAACCAAATCTAAATGCGTATAAATGTTTTTCTCATACACTATTTACATGCATTCACATTCGCCACAGAAATGATTCATAAGTAAGTTCGCTAACGAATGCCGGTGCTAATAAATCAGCTTCACAAGAATACGTGACTCATGAATCAAAGCATATACTCAGGTGAGTATAAATGTACTCACCGAAAATGAATGACTCGATCACTTGTAGCATTCGTAAAAATTGTGTTGTTTGCTACGCAAAATATTTTTGTGTTTAGTTTAATGCTTTTGGTGTGTGTGGTTGTTGTTTGCATTGTAAATGTATGTATTTTGTTTGTGTTCTCAAATATTTTATGTGCATAAAATTAGGGATTGTTTAAGTAGTAAATTATATGGACAGTAAATTTTGATATGATTGTGACGAGTTGTGATGAATTGAATGTCGGATTTTATGAGTATCATATAAGCAGAGTATAAATCAATATAAGTGCTGTCAGCTGTTTGTATGAATCAGATGGAGTCGAATATACGAAAAAGGGAGTCAGAATGTATATAAATGAAACACAGTCAATGATTCGAACTCACTATATGAGATTGCATCTTGCAACTCCATGGCTGACTTCTCTCGGGTGACCAATACATATAAGGATAAAACCTGAGCACTGTGGTGGTGGGAAAGAGTGGAATTAAGGACAAATACCGCAATTTCAGACAGTTTCCTCTCTTAAGCGTTACAGTTGATTTGCATTATTTCAGAAAGGAAGTAATATTTATTACGAACACTACAGTGCGAATTCCAATCAAGATACGAACTCAATACAAAACAAGTCGTAGTCGATGACTACATTGTCTTCATTGTCTTCTTATTTGCCTTCTCATAGTCCATTTTTTTGTCACTGCAAATTGGATAGGTAGTCTTTTTCTCATATCAGTAAAATTTGCACATAAGAGACATTTGCTCTAATTCAATCGAGAAATGATATATAAATTAATTTATATATATTCACAAATTTTAAAATTAAATTTAAACAATATGGTATAATATTGATATAATAATAAAAATAAATTTACTTATAGTTTTTTAAACACAACTGAAAGTGAAGTTGTCATTGATTACGTTAAGGATTTGATTTATTTCGGCATCAATGGAAAATCTATCAACGAGGAAGATATCGGTATTATATCACCGTATAAGAAGCAATACTTGTACATAAAGGAAGAATTAAAAAAATTATGTTTTCAAAACATTGAAATGGGCTCCGTGGAATATTTTCAAGGAAGAGAAAAGGAAATAATTATAGTCTCATTTGTACGATCATTTACAAATGATTTAGGTTTTCTGGATAATCCGAATGTAAGTAAATTTTATGAAATTAGAACTATTATAAAATTTTAAAGTACTAAATTTTTAGAAGACTATATATATATTTTATTTATATTCTTAAGCAATTTTATTTTATTAAATGGGTTATTTATTTGAGTTTGAGTTTGAATTTAAAATGTTTAATAGATTTTTAAACAAGTTTTAATAAAATGTTTTATTTGAAATACACAGCGTATTAACGTCACAATATCTCGTGCAAAATCCTTACTTATTTTAATTGGTAATCCTAAAACTTTGGAAAAAAGTACAGATTTAAAATTTATCCAGGAAAGATGCATTGAACACGGGACACGTGTTGGTGCTGCAGTTTACGATGATACAATTGTTGTGAAGCCTCACAATAAAGTTAAAAATAATGTGAAACGTAAGTTTTAATTTTGTATATAATACTTTAAAAAAATTTATAACATTCAACAATTTTTAGATCCTTCAAATAACAAAAACCAAATAAGGAACTCAAATCCTAAAAATTCAATTGAAGCACTAGATACGCTGTTAAGCACTCTGCCAAAAGTGCCAACTGCCTTAAAATCTAAAAATACTAAATCTGTTACAGATACTAAACAGATTGAAAATCATTTAAAAAATTTAGGAATATCAGCCCAAAACACCTTACTTAAAGCAGCATCTTCCTCCAAATCCGGTACGGACATGAAAACACAAGTTAAGTCTAATACTGCAAAGATAAATCCGTTTTTGTCGCATTCGAATGACAAATTGTTATGTGATCGAAATATTGAAATTTCCAATTCAATGTGTGAAGCAAAAGCTTTCACTTCAGAGTCTTATTTACAAAATAGTAATAGCCAGCGATCATTGATACTTGATATTGGAACTTCTTCCTCTAAAACATTAAAACCAGAAAAATCTTTGTCGGTACGAACTACTTTAAATGGAAATATTATTTCACATGATTCGAAAATTTCAAACGCAACAATGACTAAGTCTGCGATACCAATTCAGAACAATAAATTAACAACAGTTCATACCTCAGACCGTGAAACCAGTAGAAGTCGTAGTACCCATAGCCCTTCTACTTCCTACACAACTACGACTGCAACAACTCCAACCTCAAGAAATTCTTGTGCAACCTCTACAAATGGTGCTGCATTTGTACAGGATAGTTCTTTCTTAATACAGAATAAACATGTTACTACTATTCCATTCTCGTATAGTTTATCTGCTGCTTCTAATAATTTAAAAACTACTCCGACAAAGTACACAACTTCGACAACTGTTGTTCAACCTTCATACTCGTATGACGTAAATGTCACGAATCGGAATATACAAAGTATTCAAAAAGAAACCAAAAAAAAAAGTAATTGTGTTATATCATAATTATTTTTTAATTTTATTATTTCTTAATTTTTCTGTTATTTTTTTCATTTTATTTTATTATTTTATTTCATTATTTTATTTTATTTTTTTCATTTTCATTTATTACATTATTTCATTTTAATTTACTTATTTTTTAATATAATATTTGAAATATTAAAATTAAATATTATTTTTATTGTTATTAGTTTTAAATATTATCTTTTTTAATGTTATCCTATTTTGATATATTTATTTTTATATTTTATGTTTTATTAATATTATTAATATTATATTTTTTTTAATGCTTTAAAATTTTTAATATATTCTTATTTTGATATTTTCTTAATTTTTTATTTTATCTTTTATTCTTATTTTGCTTTTATTTTATTTATTTTTTAATATTAATATTTTTTTAATTTATTATTTCTTAACATTATTATTTTTAGTTTTAAGTTTTAATAGAAATGATAAAATTTTATCATTTACTATCAAGGGATTTTTTTATAATTCATAAACGTATACATACAAATATGAGTTATAAAAAAATTAAATTTTTACTATATCATACCGTTTTATATGAATACCGGAATATATCAAAAATTTTAAAATCTGTTTATAATGAAGTAGCATATTTCAAGTTATAAATATGCAGATTGTTATTTTACCAAATTCTGAAATTTTCATGAAAGCTAAAACGGTATTTGTACATGGTATTCCACCGCCAGAGGTCATATAAACTATTTTATTATAAAGATCAGATCAGGCACTCTATTGTATCTTACACTAATCACAATCACCGAAGAATTTCTTTCACTTTAATTGAATCAAGAAGTCTCAATCCTTTCCAATTCGATGTTTGACCACTCTGGTGCGTGGTACAATTTTTTGTGGAAAATTCTTTTTGTATATTGCATAAGGGAAGGAAGGATATTCTCCAAGTATATATTTGAATGTTCCTCTGTGTCTTCTTTGCATATAAACCATATACGTGAAGTTTTGTTTTGAGATGTGTGGTTACCATGTGTGATTGTATGTGTTGGTTTTGTTTATATACCGATATATCTTCAATCGAGTACTCTGTTATTTTGTTAAGAGTTCCATGGAGTCTATTTTTGAGACTTTAGTTATCCATTATTTTGTTGTAACAAAATTTTGTCAGATTGTATTGTGACAAACTTGTATTTGCATAATGGTGGAAAAGGCAGTCACCCAACCATACTATTAATGGTATTAATCATTTGTTTGAGCAACGTTTGTTCAATGTTGTTCAGCACGCTTTCATTTTTCATAAATATACCTTTCGCGTTAATTTCTTGGAAGCCCCAGGTGATCACTGTGTTATCCCCTTCCAATATGTTATCTATTAGGATCTGTTAGGATTTTGTTTAAAATTTTTGCTGAATGCATAATGTATGCAACGTCCACATACAGTGAGATAGTTGTTGATCTTGTGTTAATTTGGGATAAATGAAAGATTTGTACAACACCTGATTATATTTCTGAAGTTGTGCATAGGTGGTTCACTGCTTAAAACTGAGTTTGTTTATTCTCTACAAAACTTTCATCTACTTTATTAATTCGAGTTGAAAGAGTGAGTTAGTTTTATATTAGAAATTAGTTCAACTTGCAATCTAAAATTTATGGAAACTCTTATCAATATTCCATATTACCAGATTTGTTGATTTTCTCTTACTGAAAAAGAAACTTCTTTTGCTAGTTGAAGTCTGCCGAGTTCTTTATTTTAAATTCCTATTGTTGTTCTATAATAACATTTTTTTCACTTAATTGTTTTCTTAAACCTTGTTAGAATCGGTTTACTGGTTCCGAATTTGTGACAATAAGAGATTTATTCTGATTTTAGGCAAACGATGAATCTTGATTAACATTACAAACCAAATTTAGTAATTGGTATTTAATGGTGTGCATCTGTCTTGTTGCCCGTCAGTCCGCCTGCCTGTTAGATCAGAAAAATCTATGTCTTACGTCTTACAAAAGTTGAAACTTATACAAAATGCTTGCCCAAATTAATATAAAATATATTTATTGTTTATTATTATTCAGACTAGTAAATTGGTAAGCTTAAGTATTTCCTTTATATGCTAGCTTAGATTTTTAGTTAAATATGTTCATTTGTATTGATGTAAGCAGTAAATTCTTATGTTTATATTATATCTTATATTATATTATATTTTAGCTCCAGAAGTTAAAAGTATCCTATACTCTTATACTTTGGTTGTAATACAATATAATATCAACTAGGAGATATCTATTACTGTGTCATATGAACTGATAAAAAGAGAAAATCATGTTTATTTTTATTATTCTATTACGAAAGGACATAATTAAAACCTAGCGATTAAAGCATATAAAAATAAACCATTATTTATAAATATTATTTAAAATTTAATTTTTAATTCTAAAAACATTAGTCAATCAACAATTTTTGTGTTATTAATTAATTTTTTTTCATATCATTTAATTTTATACTAAACATATTAAAGCCTGTTATTATTAATCATTTTTTAAGTCTTAAAAATAAAGTTTTGGAGTGAAATTTATTAAATTGAGTATAATAATTGATTAATTTTCTTTAATAATTTTTAAAACTAGAGCAAATGGTAATTCTGGCAAAGATCGGTAAAAAGTCTTTCGTAAGATCGACCGGAAGACCGTTTGTAAGAATTAAGCTATTCTGGCATAAAAGTCTTTCAAAAAAGTTTTTTCATTTTGTCATTTGTAATTCGTGGTAATTCGTTTTCTTTTATTTCTTTCGTGGTGAAATCAAAAACAGCTTCTAATCGCTACCACATGAAGTATAGAATTAAATTTTAGTAAAAATGTGGTGGAAAGTCGCAAGGCGTAAGTTCCCTTATTATAGTTATGCATAAGTAATTATTTTCTGGACTTAACTCATTAACAACAGCAGTGTTGAAACAAAATCAATTAGTTTTAAAATTATAGCTTATATTCAGTCAAACTTCCATAACTCGAAGTACATTTTGCTAAAAAAAAGGTTCGATTTATGAAAATCCAGCTTTTTTAAAGCAGCGCGCTATCGTTTGACTACTTACATCAATATATCAAGTTTTTGTTACATGATTTATGCAATCTATAAGTGTAATATACTGCTTTTTGTTTGCTTCTAGGTATACACTTTAGTGCTTCTTTTTTAATTCTGTTGCGATAGTTGAAATTCACTTTAAGTTTTAAATTACTCCCCGATCAAGCGATTGCAATTTAGAGATCATATTCGGCGGAAGAAATGCCAATTCTAAATTGGATTCATATTTAAAACAAAAATTCGATTTATAGAATGCACTTTCCCATATTTCTATTGGCACGTTGCAATATTTTTATTCGAGTTATAGAGAAATTCGAGTTATAGAAGTTCGAGTTATGGAAGTTTGACTGTATATACATGTATATATATGTGTATATTATATAAATATATTTAAATAAATCAATGTTAAATAAATTTTGTCTAATATTAAAATTCAAATATATAAAAAACATATATATTATATATAAATATATATTTTAAAATTTTTAAAAATACAGTATAGTATATCAATACATTTACGTTGGCGCCGTATTAAAATTAAGTTAGAAATAATTGCTCAGTTTTTACAAATTTGAATTAATTAATTTATCATTAATTTTTATTCTATTCAACTTTTACTCTTGCAAAGACCGCTGCCAGAATACGAAGACCTTTCGAGGTCTCATTTCGAGTCTTCCCTACCTTTCTACCTCTTAACAAACTATTCTCTTTCGTGTCCGATAATATAAATTCAAAGAAATTTAACATAGAACTATTGTATTGTTGTCATATATTATATTACATCATATTTTTTTAATTAAAATTGGAAAATTTTTATATATCTATAAATACGTAATAATTGATTATAATCAAAAAAAAAAAAAGAAAACTATTTTAATATTACAGATAGAAATTTTAAGCTACTTCTTTTTCTCTAAACAAATATGTATTTCCTACAAACTTTATTTATAAAAAATTATATTTTCTTATCAAAACAAGAGCGTTTTCCAATTGTTAATTCATATTTATTGTATATAATAAGATATTAACTGTTTTTTTTATTAAAAGTAAAAAACTTTTTTAATATAATTTTTAAGAGAGTAGTTTTGTTTTGAAATATATATGTGTAATATATTTGAAAATAAATATTTAAAAATCTGTTTTTCTGAAATAAAATTAATTATATCATCGTAAAAAAATGTATTTTTTTTCAAAAAACAAATATATATTCCATTCTATAGCCAGAGATCTTAATGTCATATGTTTAACATTGAGCAATCAAAAACAATCGTGAAGACCTGTAAGATTTACAGTTACGAAATAATATTTCGAAATAGAGAGGAAGTAAGATTCAACTACTTTAAAACCGGGGCAAAACAGTTTAATCGCTTAATAAATAGCAATTGAAAGTAAAAATCAAATTTTTTTAAATATTTGTATAAAAAAATTAACATGTAATAAAAGATTACAAAATAAACAAGGTTTTCTATGAAGAAATATATAGTTTCTATAGAAGTTTCATACTTCTATAATATGCTTATCTTAAAAATGGTACAGGAAAATCGACGATAAAAGCGTATATTTTATTATATTATAATAATACAATTAAATTAATTTATGAAATAAAATTAAATTTAAATCGATGCTATATAAAATAACTATTAATGTTAATAAAATATCTATATCCATTGTTGAAAAAAATTGACAGCAATACAATATCTAGAGGGTATGTATACATTTTTTTCTAATAATACAAATTAATCAAATAAAGTTTTTATTATGTTAAACAAGTTATACCTGTACATTTTTAATTATCTTTGTATTTAAGTGAATTTAATAAATAAATTACTTATATATATATAATTGCGAGTTCATCTTAAATATTTCTTCTTCTACTGCTTCTAATACTGTGCGGCAAATTCATGGTTCAAGTTCATCAGTTCAATTTTTTTTATAAATTAAAGTTTTATTAAATATTTTTAATCATTTGATAAACTTCATATAAAAGTACCAGCTTTCTATATATTAAAATTTATGTCATTTTTTTTGGTTCAATTATCATTCGTATAACTAAGTAATTCATCTTTGAACCTCGTTTTTTATCCATTGATTTCATTATAATTTAAAAATGACAAAGTAATTTTAACATAATTTTGTTTTTAATTTTTGAATTATTGCGTCGCAACTATTTTAAAGGTTTTATTTTTTTAAGAATTTTAACTTTTATTTATAAAGTTTGTTTATATATTATTCTAATATTAGGAATTCTCCTGGTGAAAGTAAAAGCGATTTATCGAAATTGCCGAAATATATATAGAAATATACTAAAAATAACGCTCAAAATAAAAGTTAAGATTCTTAAAAAAAAACAAAAACGACTTTAATTTAAATAGTTGAATTAATGTATTCATTTCAATCAATAATTTTACATATATTTCAGCTTTTATTTTTTAATTTTTCATTAAGTATAAACTAATTCAAATTTATTTTGCAATCTCAAATTGTAAAGAAGTTTTACAACAAGATTCTCTGTATTTTTAATAATTTAATAATAATTTAAACTTTCTTTTGATATATATGTCAATATTTGTACGTTCTAGTTTAAAAGATATTACTATTATGTAGCTTTTAATATTTTAACTTTCTATTTAAAAACTGTAATTAATAAATAAATTTGTTTCACATTGTAATAACCTACAATTAATTCTTAATTTAATAATGTATATTATTTTATAATAATTACCTAATTAATAAAGTTACAATCAGTATTGTGTATTTCGCTTTGACTTGAATTCGCTTAAGTTCTTAAGTTCTTAACTGGCCTTAACTTAGCGCATCTGTATGCTTTTTGGTCATAACCAAAAAAAGCGTAAAATTGCCATAACCATTCGTCATATGACGGCATGCATAACACGAAATTATTCAAATAAAGTTGTTTAATAAATTTTTGCAAATTCCTACAATAAACTTGGATTTACTAATCAAGTATTAGACTACTTTTTCACCAAAATTCTCTAATTTTTTTTGTAGAAGGCAACCCAATTCAGGTTCGGTTTCGCTTTGTTAGTTCGTCTTTATCTCCGCACGAGTGCAGTCGTGTATTTTCTCTGCGGCCATATAAATTTTATGATTCGTTTAATATAAATAGAAAATTTGTAAAACTTATTTATATACGAACTTTTAGGATATTTGCAATTATTTGCAAATTTCCCGAAATGCTTATACATTAATATTGCAAAATATTAATTACTTTCTCAATTGTAACGTAAGACTGATTTGCCAACGGAGCGCTAAGGCAAATTGCGTATTCGCTAAAAATTTTTCTTTAGTGTTTTTTCAAATATAAAAAAGTTATATTATGAACGGAAAGTAGAGTTTTTATTGTACAAAGTGCAAATTCTCTTTTTGCTTTACGAACATTTGAAATTTTTGTTAAATATTTTAATAATTGTTCGAAACTGCAATAATTGAATTGGAGAAAACGACGAACAGGAGGAAGTAGCAAAGAAGAAAAGACGTAGGAAAGAGGGCGTGATATATTCTGCCTCGAATATTAAACAAGTAAGTTTACTGAATATTTTTTATTATAACAAGCATAATAATCATTGTAAAAATAACTTTAAAACTTTGTAAAATATTTCTTTTTAATTAAACAATTTATAATTTATTTAAACGATCTATACCATTTATTTTGCATTAAATTTAAATGAGACTTGTTTAAACATCACAATTTGCATAGATGAAAGTTGTATGACGTATATATCAAATTTATGTATTGTCATTAACTTCAATGATAAATTTAAGAATGTTTAAATGTATAAGTTCATAAAACTTCTTACATTTGCTTTAAGTTCGCAGTTAAGTGAATAAAAAAATTGCAAATAGTGCAAAATTTATTGATGAAATGCAAACCTTAAAATAGTTTAATTGTACACTATACTTTTATTATTTCCAAAAAAAACTGACAACATAGGTAAATAATTGTGTAATTTGAATTATAATAAAGTTTATTTAATTGAATTAGGAATTTAATTTTTACAATTTACAAAATATTTGAAGTTTCAAACATTTTCATTGCATATGTCATTCATTTTTCTTAAACGTCAAAACTTAATGAGCTGTCAGTTGAGGTTTGCTTTGTGACCAGCGAAGTTTGTGTGTAATTTTAGAGCAGTGGAGGACTCTGTGCTAACAAAATAAAAGGTCGGTTCCACGAGGTATTCGTAGTAAAATTTAAGTAAAACTCAAGTAAAGTGCAGAGTAAGAGCGTAATGTAAATAAAGTGCCAGATTACGCTCTTTACACAATTTTTCATGGAACAGGTTTGTGTTAATTCTGGCGAGAACAGCTGTTTTTCGAAAAACAAAACAGTAGAAAAGTTAGAAAATAAGAAAATTTTATAACAAGCGGCAACAACATTTTAAAAATGTTGAACACATATTGCAGGAAAGTAACGAATGCCGAATATTAAGTAAAAAAAACTGAATATAAAATAAATTTTAAAAAAGAAAAAATATTAATTTTAAATGATAATTGGTATTTTGGTATCCCAGTTGAGCTGGCCAAAATCCACAAAGCTGTTTCAAAACTGTTAGAAAATCTGTGTAAAGAGCAAAACTTGGCATTTTTTGTGTTTTACTTGAGTTTTACTACGAGTAGCTCGTGGAACAGACCTAATCATAGATGAATATGACTAATTTCAAAGTGTCAAAAAATCATATTTACTTTAAGTATAATTTTTCGAACTAATGAATTAGGAACATAGAAATTTTATATATTATCAAAGGCAATATATTAGTTAGAAATTCTTTTAAATATTAATATGTAATAATTTTTATTATGTGATGTACTTACATACAATGCCTTCAATTGAAAAGAAAGTTCAATTTCTTCTTAATTCATTTCAACTAAATGAATCTATTCATTAATTAAATGTAATTACTTTTTTACCACAATCTGAAATGGTAGTAATAATTGTTTTTAGTGAATTATTTTTTTATTAGTTCCTTGTCAATTTATATACCTATATGTTAAATATAGTATTCTTAAATATAAATATTTATGGAACTGCGGTTCTAAAGTAAAATTTCAGTGATTCTTACCTCAAAATGTAAGCAACCAATTTATCTATCATTGGACAGCGACTGAAGGTAAATACGTTTCTTTCACATGTGTTAATCGGAAAACTTCACCAACCGCCTCATATTGTAGATTTGAAGACTATATAGATTACTATTTAAAATATTAAAAATATCATATTAAACAATTTTTTTATTTTATTTATTTGAATTTTAATAACTTCAACTTTCTTCAAACCAAATATTGGACACAATATGCGAAATTCACCACAGTTTTAAGATAAAAATAGAAAAATTTACTACATAATACATAATAAAGAAATCATATTCTAAATGTGAGATGAAACTGTTATTAAATATTTTCTTTTACAACATAACAGTTTTTTTAATTCATACCAACAAAAGTAGTATTAGGTGGTAGGTGGTTTGTTTTTTTTCTTTTTCTGACAATAATGTGTAACCTTTGATCCTCTATAGAACCTTGACCAGTGGCTTAAATTTTTTTCATAATAATTAAAACTCGTAAGAATATAAAAAAATAAATTTTTAAGAAATTTACAACCCTTATTTTAAATATATTATTATTACACTGTTCAATATATTTGTGGAAAGTGTTTCTAATATATGTTAATTTTTTTTTAGTAAAAATACCAGGCAGCATAAAGGCAACGATTTTAAATTAAAGCTTTCTCATTCTTGGAAATGAAAAAGCATTTAGTCAAATAACTTACGAAATTGTTTATAGAAACGCGTCGATAAAAATTGTTTGCTACACAATTATGGAGTCCAAAAACGAAACATCACTTCTTTCATGTGACATTAATTTTATATCAGACAAATCCACATTGTTTGTTACAAATTTGGACAAGTACGGTCCGTATCTTCGATTTTCCGGTTACCGCAATCCAGAAGATTTACATCAAATAACATCAAAATTAAAAGCAGTGGTTGCTAATTCATTACCTATTGATTCATCATGGCATCTATCGCGTCAAGAGGAATTATTTCGTCCTGACAAGTTGTTTATATATAAAAAAATTGTCGATAAAACTGCAACTGAGGTTGATATAAAACGTGTACGCATAAAAAGTACTAAAATAAACAATAATAAACTTGAAATCGAGGCAGACTTTATCGACTATGGCTACACTTCAAATGTGTTTAGCAACGATGTAAGTTAATTGATAATTCCTATTTTTAAGATATAATTTCAGTTTAAGAAACCTTTTTATATCATTTATATGCCAAATAAAGTTATACAAGCACAATAAACATATAACCATATTAACTTAATGACAACTATTGTATGATTTTATTTTGTAGCTACTTATGCCAAATTACCCTGAAGCATTACAAAATATACCTAGTACTTGTGTGCATTATATTATGTTAGGTATATGCTTAGATTGGACCAAATCACAATTGCAAGAGTTAACAGTAATGGTTAAACATCAAACAATAGATATACATGTATCAGCAGAGGTAATTAAATGCATAAATTAATATATTGATCTCTTTAATCTTTAATCTTATAATCTTTAATCTTCATTTTAGTATAAAGATGTTAAATTTATCACTATAAAATGGAAAGGATTTGAATTACCACAGTACTTAATACATCATAAAAAAATGGGGGCACCTATTGTTAACGAATTATTGTTTGAAAATTTTAAAAAGATATACAATGAAATTCCATTTTTCAATAGTAAAATAACTGTTCAAAATGAAAATAGTAGTTGTAATAATAACAATTATATTGCAAATAACAATAATGTTTATAATGTTGGAAAGATAAAAGTAGCAAAAACTAATAATACTAACCCAAACATGTTAGATTATTCAACGCATCATCAATATCAACATCATGGTTTTTCTGCTCGTTCACCATATCCTCCAGTACCTATGCAACTATATATGAAAGGTATGGTATATTAAATTTGTTGTAAATTATTTAAAAACATCAGCATTTATTAAAACAATCTTTTTTAGCGGCCATAAATAAACGAAATGAGATAGTATATGGAAGACAACAATGGATGCAACCAATGCGTTTTTATTATCCAAATTTTCAAATATCGAATAGCGAACGGTACCCACCACCAGAACCAATAAGAGATGTATATGAAGTACAAATATCAGATAATACACATATGAATTACCAGCGTCGAAACAATTCCCATCTTAAAAGGGATGTGGCACAAATAATTTCGGCTGCTACTAATAAACCTCTACACACTAAACAGTCGGCATTCACGTGTACAAATCTTCTTGTTGGAACAAGTTATAATGTTTCCGTTAGTTTTGTCGAAAACGGGCCTTGTTTGTTTTGTGTACAACTGGCTGAAAATGAAGCAAATCTAACAAACATGATGAATCAAATCGAAAGTATAAATCATAGACGTTTATCAGTCGAACCTACATTAGGAACAACATGTATTGCTCGTTACGCTGAAGATGGTCAATTCTACCGAGCTCTTGTCATTGGTGTACAAAAGTTTGGATACAAAGTATCTTATATTGATTATGGTAACTCGGCACTAGTAAATATCAATGATATGTATGAAATTCCTGACATTTTTCTGCAACATGAACCATATGCTATGAAATTTTCATTATCGTCTATTCATGATCTGGAGCCCATAGATGAAAGCTTAAAAAAATCGTTCAAGGATCTAGTTTTATATAAGAACTGTGCATTAACTGTTATGCCAGTTGAAGGTCCGCCTCTAATACAGTTTTGTGATTTATACATAGATGTATGTATGTTTATTTGAAAATTGGTTGTTAATAAATTTAAAATATTTTCAGGGTAAAAGTGTATTTAAAATTTTAAAACAAATACAACAGTCGCGTTTGGTATATCCGCCGGCCGAAAATTTAGAACATAAAGAAATGGTTGAAATTCGATATATAGAATCGCCAAAAAATTTTTATGTACAAAAAATTTCAAATATAAAGAAATTTGAAAAACTAATGGATGAAATGTTCGTGTATTACAACACTAATCAAAAGATACCAATTCCTCTCATATTGGGTGCGCCCTGCATAGTTAAATACGAAAACGAGTGGTATCGTGCTGAAATTATGCGTATTGATGAGAAGGTAATTGTTGTTCGTCATGTAGATTTTGGTTATGAACAAACGGTACAAATAAATCTTTTAAGTACCATTGCTGAAGAACATTTGAAACTTCCACGACAGGCTGTACAATGCTGTCTTAAAGGTTTTGAAAAAACTGAGTTGATTAAAGAGAACCTTATAACGCAATTCGAAATGTTAGCGGAGGAAACTAATAGACATAGACGTTCGTTTACTGTGCATGTATTTCGTATTGAACCTAGCGGCGTGAATATGGTAAATTTAACATCTAAGGAACTTAATGTTATGAAAAAGCTTTACAAACTCAACATACCGTTTGAGAGATATTTAACATTCGAAAAAGAAGGGTTGCTTCCAAAAACTAATAAGCAAATAAATCAGAAAAATTATAATGTATCATCCGTTGCTTCATCGAGCGATATTCATTCGTCAATATCTTCAGATAAAAAAGGACATGTATTAACTTCAACAGCATTATTAAGTGAAAAGCAGATCCAAGAAGAAGAATATGAGCAAAAGCAACTAGGCCATCCTAAACAAAATAAAGTTAACATACATCAACGCAAAAACTTGAAAAATAGTAATATTAGTGATTGTGAAAAATATAGCAATAGCAGTTCAAATGATAATAGGTCAAAAAATAATTCTCAGCACTCTAAAAATCATAATAATGTGAATGAATTTTCCAATGAGATCCGGAATAAAAAAACTCAACTAGATTTAAACAACAAAGCTCATGAGCACAATGGTTTTATAAAAGACGAAAAACAGTAAGTTGTGGAATAAAATAAATATTTTCATATTTTTAATTATATTTAATATTTTTAAGTCGAGCAAAAACACAAGCAACTGGACGTTCACCGAACTCATCACAAGGTTCTTCACAAAGCAAAAAACACGCAAAACAAACATCACCATCTGATTATTGTATAGAACAAAAGAGAGTTGAAGAATTTATGAGTCTTGACTTCTCATTCCCTACAGAAAATATAAACATCCCAATGGAAGCAGAAGTTATTATTTCTTGGTGGGTTTCCCCGCATCTGTTTTACGTGCAATTTAAATCTACAATTGAAAAATTTAACAAATTATTAACTGACATGATTGGCTTTTATAAAAATATGCCGATTCATAGTCTTCGATGGAAAAGTGGAAATTCTGTAATTGTTCGAGGGCGTAAAGACAATCTATTCCATCGTGCACGTATTATATCTGCTACTCCAATGCTACGAAGATATAAAGTATTTTGTGTTGATACCGGGAATATTATTTCTGTTGGACCAGATGATATTTTTAAAGTTGAAAGACGATATTCCGATATACCCTGCATAGCTCACGAGTGTGCATTGCAAAATATATTTACAATAAGCGACAAATATATTATATTACAAGAAGTAAAAAATATGTTAACAAAAAATCCGAAAGTTATGTGCAGCTTTATAAAACACAAACAAGGAAAAAATGTTGTCAACATAAAAGTGAATAATGTCTCACTTAGAAATTCTCTAAAAGATAAAGATTTTATAATAGATAATCCTGGTAAGACAGATACACAATTGTTTAATAAATAATAATCATTTATTATTATTTTATAATGTAATTATTTTTGCAGATCTGGCTATAAACCTTTTAAAAAGTCAACAGATACGTGTAAAAATTTGTCAAGTTAATAGTTTGTCCAGCTTTAAAATACAGTTGGATCATACTGATCCACAAATACAGGTGACATGTTCTTATTTTGATACAAAATATATGAATTCAAATAGAACCCTAGATGATAAATTTAGAGAATTTTACAAAAGTAAAACATGCGTGGTAGAAGTTGTAAATGTCGACGATCACAATGTGTAAGAAAACAATTAAATAACTGTATTGTATTGTTAATGTTGTATTTTTTGTCATTTCAGATGCTTCTTGCGACCTCTGGTTCCATTATTTAAACCAGATATTCAAACTTATATATGTACATATCCCATTGTAAAAAAATATTATGATGCTCGTGTTGTGCATATCAATAGTCTTAACCGCTTACATGTCCACTGTGTTGAGCATGAGAGAGAAATAAAAAAAATGTCTGCTGAATTGTTCGAAGCTTATGAAGAAAAAGGTGAGTTATGGTATATTTGTTATTAAAAGTTAAAATTTGATTTTTTTATATAAAGCTTTAATATAAGAATACATAATGCTAGAAAAACATGATCATTTCAAATTATGTTTTTAGCTTTTATTTCAATTCAGTACATTACAATCCCAATAATTCTTTTTAATTTATATAGATAAACAAATTTCTATAATTTCTTTAATTTTCATACAATTGTTTTATACACTTGATTAAAAAAAATAAATAAATATAAATTTAATATATTTTATCGTATCAGGCTCATTGTATCAGGATTATTCATTGTTATATCAGGATTTCGAATTGAAACTAAACAGAAAATTAAAAATGAAATGTTTTTACCAAAGCAATAACCGAAACCAAATCAAAAAAGTATATCGGTTTATTTTGGTTCAGCATCGTTTAATTCAGTACGAGTGTCCTTTTTGTACACGCAACTTCTTTTTTCCCACTATGAAAATATATATAGAAATATGATATATATATAGAAATATGATATATATATAGAAATATGATATATATTTATATAGAAATGTATTTGAAATGTATCTCTCGTAACTGAAACAATAAAATTAATGCTTTTAGTTGAATAGATATAAATATTTGAATATTTTCTATTTAAAATACTGTTTTTATTTTGAATAATTTTTTACAGTCTCTAAGATATTGCCTTTTGTTATGTATATACTATTTTTATATTTAATTTATGTGTACTAAATTGAAACTAATTTTTCTTATATAACATATAGGCGAACTTTTATCAAATTTTGGTGTTGATCAAATATGTGCAGCAAAATCTTCAAATGGAAATTGGTGCCGGGCACGTATAGTTTCAACACTTAAAAAAACAGTGGAGCTGTTTTTTATAGATTATGGTTACACAGAAATACGTGAAAGAAACTCTGTTAAAAAGCTGGATAAACAATTTTATGTTAATAAATCCTCGTATGGAATAGAAATAAACCTACCAGTTAAATTATCAGAAACGATAAGTGATGCAAAAAAGAATGAGTGCTTGATTAAAATGCAAGATATATTATTGAATAAAATAATAAGTTTTGAACCTATCGAGATCCGAAAAAATCGACTAATTGCGCAATTAATTTTAGAAGAGAAGTCAGTAATAGAAATTTTGAAATCTCTCCAATTGATTGAAGCAGAAAGTTTGGAATATGTTCAGAATTTAATTAATAAAGAAAAATCAAACAAATTTATTTATATAGAAACAGTTGATTTGACACAAGATGAATCAGATACTGATGGAGCAGGTTCAGAAAAGAAAACTGTACAATCTGTGGGAGAACCAGAAGCAATTAAGATGACTAAAAATATAAATTTAACTAAAGGTTGTGATGATATTACAAGAACTCTATTTAATCCAGTTGAAGATGTGGTACCGAATGAACCATTATATATACCAAATAAAGTCTTGTATACCATAAAACAAGATTCAATTATTAAGAAACCAGAAATAAATATTAAACCAAAAAATAATCCCTATGAAAATATGGAGCAGGGACAACTTGCTCACTGTGATAATCCTACGCAATTTTATATACATCCAAAATGCAATCTTGAAACACTGCGAAACTTACAGGAGAATTTACAAATTATATCAGCATCTTTACCACCATTAATGCGTATAATGGATGGCGCGAATTGTATTTCATTTTACTCAGTGAACAAACAATATTATAGAGCAAAAATAATTGATTCTGAACTAATGGTAATTAAGTTTATTGACTATGGTAACTCTGATTGTGTTACTGACACAACTGATGTTAAAGAAATGAGTGTATTTCCCGATATGGATCCACTTTGTATTCCATGTGCTTTACCAATAAAACCAAAAGGAACAACAGATTGGGTTGACGCAGCTAACTCTATTTTTAATGATTCCTATAATAAGTTAATATATTATAAGTTTTTAACTCACGGACATGAAAAAAATAGTCGATATATTGATCTATATATAGATGATGTAAACGTCGCCGAAAAACTTATAGAAGTTGGTTATGCTGTTCCGTTGGTAGTTGTAACATCAAAAGAGTTATGCTATATATCGCATATAAATAATATATCAGATTTTTATATACAATATGCAAAAGATCGTAAAACTTTGGAACTGATTGAAATGTTCTTGGCTGATTATACAGCTTTGCTAGAAGTAGAAACATTTGAGAGGGATAAAATTGTAGCTGCGCTCTTTCCAGAAGATGGAATGTGGTATAGAGCCAAACTGTTGGAAGAAACTGCTGATAAAAGCTATAAGGTGTTGTTTATTGATTATGGAAATACGTGCATTACACCACAGTGTCGTATTGTATCAGATACAGTTTCGAAAGTACCATCGTTATCAATAAAATGTTCTCTGCTATCTGATAATAGTTTTATTTGCTCTGAAGCCACTGAACAAAAGTTTGCAGATTTAATTACTATCGGTCAGAATGAATTTACAATCGAATTAATTGAGCCTGCAGTTGATCACGCTAAAGTTAATTTGTTTGCAGGCGACCGGAATATAAAGGAGGAACTCGAAATATTTGACAAGCAGAATAATTTATCGGGATTAGAATCAAACGCTGCATTAAGCACAAGGCGTGTGTCACGTGAGTGTGTCACACTTGCAGATCCGACTAACTCCGATATCGGTGAAACTAATGTACATAAAAACACTGAATGTTATCCACAACCATATGCCACCCCTAAAATTTCCAATAATCTTGAGCCAAGTAACTGTCTTTTAAATCCGATTAGTATGGCTGGAACCGTATCACATATAAATTCAATTTATAGTTTTTATGTACAAACCAATGAGAATTTTCTACGGGTTAAAGAAATGTCAGAAAATCTTAAATTATTAGCACGGGATTCAATGCAGGTACTAGAAATTGGCGAACTGTGTGCAGCCTATTACGATAAGAATAACACATTACGTCGTGCGCGTATTTTGGAAATATTACCCAATTCTGAATACAGAGCACGCGTACAGTTTATTGATTATGGTAATTGCGCTGAGAGCAGTGATATTCGAAATCTCCCACAACGATTTAAGCAATTTCAAGAATTATGTATGCATTGTAAATTGAATAATGCAGATATGTTGCAAAATGTTAATAATTCGGCAGATAAAATGTTTAAAAACCTAACTAAGGCGTGTAATAGAAATGTCAAAATTGAATATTCCAATGCAGACGATAGGCCAATTGCAGTCCAAATTTACTCAGCCGAAACTGATGACAATTTAAATAGCCAATTGGAAGGAATATTAAATAAATCGCAAAAATTTATCGAACAAACAGCAAAACCTATTGATGCAGAACAAAAAGTGGTCCGCACTATTACCAAAGCTGAGTCAACATGCCACATTACACACGTAGAATCGGCAACAAGCTTTTATATTCAGCTGGCATCAAGCGCATCGTATTTAGAACTAATAACGGCACGTCTTGAAAAATCTATTGCTGATAAATATGACCTTGTTACTGTGCTTGAGAATGGAAAAATTTGCTGTGCTTTTATAGCAGAAGACGATTTATACTATCGTGTTAAAATTGAATCTGTTTCTTCTGAAAATATCAGAATATTTCTAATTGATTATGGCTACCACATGATTGTAACACAACTACGCGAATTACCTAGCGAAATAGTTGTAATCCCTCCATTAGCGTTGCATTGTACATTGAATGTATTACCAGAAGCACCAACCGAACAAATTGACAAATGCTTCCATTCACTTGTCGAACAACATTTTGGCGATTTTTTTCAGATTGGTGCAAATAAAAAGGATGAGACGACAGGCAAGCATGTGGTTAAGCTACAAACCAATTATAAGGATCTAGCAGATGAGTTAGCAGAATTAGTTAGCCATAGTGATAAAAATATGAAAGCAGTATCTACGATGCCTGTACTGCACGAATGCATCGTTATATTCGTGAATTCCATAAATTCATTTTACATACAACTTAAAAAAGATATACCAGCAATACAACGTATTACTGAGAAGTTGGCTTTTGCGGAAAAAGAATTCAAACTAATAACTGAATTGAAAGTTGGTATGATTTGTGCGGCGTTGTTCCCTGGTGATTTATCCTATTATCGTGCCAAAATTGTAAAAGTGCTCGAGAACGGCAAGTGTGAAGTACATTATTTAGATTTCGGAAATAATGCCGAATGCGAGACATGCTACGCTTTACCTGAAAGTTTAATTGAAGAACAACGCTATAGTAAGCATTGCAGTCTCGATGAAGATTTTACTGCGAGGGATGAAGTTAGCACAGAGTTTCAAAACTTTGTTACGTCTAACTTCAGTCAAACATTCCAAGTGGAGTTTCTGAAGACAACAGAAGATCCATATATATGTCGGATGTTCTTCCAAAAAAAAATTTTGGCTGCAGAGTTGTTGAAGCTTATCAACAATGAACGAAATAATGAAAATATTGGACCAAAAGTAGCAGACACCGCTACAATCCGTCCAAACGTCTAGAAGAACTGCTTTAAATCTGAACAACTAGAAGTAAAGCAAGATTTAGCTAACTTAAAATATTAAATTTTATTTATATGTAGTATATTATATACTAATCAAATTATGTTTTAAGCTAAATCTTAATAATAAAATAAACTTGCTAAAGGTTTTTTAAAAAAATCTCCCTTTTTGAATGTTAAAATTATTGGTGATATTCGATAAATTTTATAACGAAAAATAAATACGAAAAATAAGTTTTTTTTATAACTAAGTTTTTATAAAAGCGGTTGTCATATTGAAACAATCATTAAGTTGTAAATTAAATTAAAAATTTTATGAAATTGTCCTGATGTCCTTTAAGGATTTTAATTATATAAATTTTATTTAAAATCAAAATACATTGTATTATTTTGGGCACTGATTAAAACAAAACAAAAAAAAAAATTAAATATTTGTAAAACGAATTCCAAATGTGCTAAAACGGAAATAAGAAAAAAAAAAACAAAAAAAAATTGTAAAAAATGATAAAATAAAAAAAAATAAGTAAAATATAAAAAATTCACAAAAAAAAAATACTTGCAAATAAAAAATTATATTTGTTCAAGTATGAAAAACTTAGTCAAACTAACAAAAATTAAATACGCGAAAATGTAAGTGAGATTGCTCAATTTACGAAGAAATTTTGAAAACTGAATTTAAAATGCTCATGAGTTAAAAACTATAAAGAAGCAAAATTTAAACGTTATGAATATCAGAAAACACAGAACAATAATTTATAAAGTTTCTATACAGAAAAATTAATATTGAATATTTTAGTAGTTTTTGTTTGTATATTAATGTTTATAAATATTTGTTAAATAATTCACAGAAAATCGTTATTTTTTATAAATGAGTTATTTATTTATTTTTTGTTTATGATTTACTCTTAACAGCTATTAAGTTTAATAATTATATTTAATACAAGTTTCTTCCACTATTATAATTTTGAAAAAAAAAAACAAAATTTAATAAAAAAAAAATTATAAAATATGAAATCAATAAATGTAACTACGAAACTTAATATATCTTCTCTTTTATTTAATAAAATCTAAAATCCGCAAAATGCTGTAATGAAGTAAGTTAATCAGGCATTAAAAATGTCTTCATTACAAAACCCCAAGATTTGGTTTTTTTTTATTTTATGTTTCAATATTTTAATAATTAATATTTTAATCGACTAATGTACGTCAAAAGTACTTTTTACATCACTGATAGACACACAAATGTGCTATACATTAATAATTTTTCATAACAGTACAGTCAATATCTTTGAAAATACAATGACTTTCATCGTCCCATATTAAAAAGTCAAATAGTCTGCTGTCATCATAACAAATGGTATTGGTGATAAGGTGAGTTTCATTATACACCCTTATACAAACCTTGTAACCGAGACACTGAGGGTAACGTATAAATCGAAATGTATTCTCTTGTTGTAAAGCAAGTTACAAGTAAATAAACAAGAAAATCATATTTATAGTCACAAAATATCTTCTATTTAGTACCATTAGTCAGACAGCCACGCAGCTCAAAGTTGGTCTGGAAGTGCTTTCAACTTCTCAACACCCAAACATCGAGGAACTATGTTACTCTTATGTGGGTACCGGAATACGAAGGGCATGAGGGCAATGAAATAGCAGACTCCCTAGCAAAGAAGTGTGCGTTGGTCCAGAGCCCTTCTGCGGGGTAAAAAATAGCTTCACAAATATCTTATTATGTGAACAGGAAAAACAACACCTACTTGAACACTGTAGAGCCCAAACAGGCATGCGACAGTCAAAAAGATTCATTGATCCTGATCACATCAAAGTTGATCCTGATCAAAATCTACACTGAACTTCTTACAAGACACTGTAGACTTAATTACCACATGAAGATTATAGGTGCGGTAGAAAACGACTTCTTTCGACTCTGTCATGAGAAGAAGGAAACATCGGAACATCTTCTATGCAACTGCACAGTGGTGGCAAGACGAAGACTCGATTACTTTGGAAGCGGGATCTTAGTCCCAAATCAAATAGGTAAAATTAAGCCCACAGCAATAACAAGTTTTATAAATAGTCTAAAATTGTCCTAATTGATCTTTTAGGTCAATTTAGGCATTAATAGCCTATTACTTAATAATAGTAACACTAAATCATTGTAGGAAGGACTATTCAGTGATGTGGCCAAAATTGTTCTCAGAGGTAATATACTAAAAAATATTTTTTTTCGCAGACACTGCAGTGTATTATGTAGATTACATTGACAAATAGGTTGGCATCTTATCCCCGCTGTATGCTTTGATATGCTAAGTACATTTACTTAACACTACTGAAGAAGAAAAGTGTAGGACATGTTAATTGCATGGAAGTTTGCTTCAAGGCATCGAAAAGAAGATCACTGTACATATGCTATAGTATGTCCAGCTTGCATCTGTAGTAGAATTGAAGCTAGTATCAAAATGAAAAAAAAAGAAAAAGTATATTTACATATATTATTCTATTATAATGTAAATTAAACCTTCAAAAATTACCATGACAACATTTTTTTTAAAGATCATTTTCAAAATTCCAGTCTAAAACTTAAATATTAGCACCCTGTACATATACACAAAATTTTTAGACAATCTTATCACTAAAAACTTTAAACAACAGGCAAACCATTTTAATCAAGCTCCAAAAAATGTTGTTCTGTTATGCAAAATTTCTTATCAAAGTTCAAAAAGTTAGTTTTACATTTAACAATCAGAACAAAATAAGACATCAAATCGAAATTAAATGTTCGATCGAAGAAAAATGTTGATATAAAAATTAGGGATAATTAATAAAACGTGAAAATATCATTAGTTTTGGGATTTTTGATTATGAATTTCAATTTGAAACCATGTTGGATATATGTACATATTTCTGTTGAAATATTTTGATTCATTTCAAGTGATAACATAATTAAATTATTAACTCTCAAAAGTATATATAATTGATATAAGATAATTATCATTTCAACGCTAATTAAAAACAAAAATAAGATGTCAAGAAATTCATTTCTTTAAATTGTATCACATTTTATTTTTTTAAAACAAACTTATCACTTAATTATCAGTTCGTACAAATATCATCACTCTCATTATATTAAAAAAAAGATATTACACAAATTTAGTTCAATTGATATTTTTGTGTAACCAATTTAAATGCATTCTTTATTTGATTAAAAAGTGATAAGTAGTAATTTGATTATTTGTCTTTATTTCCATCATTTTTATAATTTTTTTTTAGTTATCATATTTCTCGCTTCAACTCATTTCACATTTGTTTACAAAACATTATAAACTTCTTTCCCGAATCTTACATCTACAACTATACTTCTTAAAAATTTATAAAGAATAGTAACTAGTCCGTAAAGCACCAATTGCCGAAACTCAATTTCAGTAAACAAGGCAAAGGTGAATTAAATTTAAAAAAGCGTAATTAATATTTATAGAAAAAGACATTAAAGAAGAGGACAATTCTTCATTGGGTGATTGCTATTATAAACTTCTATGTATAATAGAAATTGGTGTTAGAAGAAGAATGATTGTTCAGTATTCTATAAAAATACAAGGGCAGGTGTTGCAGCGATTGAATTTTAAATGCTTTTTACAGCAAAGTATTTGCTTCATGTTCTTGATCTATACTAATGCCTTCTAATTGAATTATTTTCCATAACTTAAAGTTAAAAAATTGTACATGCACTATCTAGGCGGCGCTCGTCAATCTGGATAAACTTGAACAGTCATACCGCATATGTTACAATATCTTTAACTCGAGTGTTAGTGAACACGATGTATAAAAATTTCCAAATGACACATCAAGACTAGCTCCATGCCAATCTATATTCTTTTTTATTACTATCAGTTAAGTTAAAAGTTAAAGATTGGGAGTTTCGTTTAAAAACTTAATTAAATAAACTAAAAGTTTATTTTTCGCATACCGTACATACGAGCAATGATTTTGTTTTCTACACCTATAATTAAATACTATATTTTCTATTGTTTTTTTCAAATATATTAAATAACCGGTGAGCAGAACTACTAAGAGTTGATGTGTAATATTACGAGTATTTACCACGAAACAGCCAATTTTATGTTATTAACATTTACTAGAAAAAAATTAAAATAAGCTAGTTGAACTGTACGTTATTATCTAAATTTAATTATTTGATTATAATTTGAGCATTGAAAAGTATAACTAATCTGAGCATTGAAAAGTATAACTAATCTGAGCACTGAAAGGTTTTGGCTCCCATTACACTTGTCTCATGGAATTTGGTATAAGTGATATTTCAATGTGTATTGGCAACTCTACTTCACTGTTTTTCACTGAGAGCAGATCGTATTGGACTGCTTTTATTTTGTCGAGTAGTGTACGGACGGCAATAGCGTGCGATATTTGCAGTGAAAAGTGTATAGTGCTTTTAAAATATAACGGACGGTAACGGTTAATATTAAGTTATATTGCAAACATAAGTGAAACGTTAATAATTAAATAAATATTTTATTTTATTTAAATATTTTATTATTTAAATTAAAACAATATTGTGAAATGCAAAATTACAATTTTTAATATTGTAAGAATAAATTACAAATCTATTTAGTGCAATTCTAATTAAATCTTAAGAAAATATATTCTTTTTTAAATTAAAAATATGCAAAACATCAATGAATTTTTTGGTTGTAGTACATTTGTTGGATTAAAAGAATTTTAAAAAGGTAAAAATTGAGAATAGTAGACGATTTTTACTTCTTTATTATAAGTTGAGTAAAGAAAAAAAAAACTGTAGTAATAATATATATGACTTTAAAATTTACTAATGAAATTTTACACATTTCCTTTGTTATGTAAATTAAAGCTGTTAATAACAGAGTCTGTTAAAATATAATATCTTATTAATAAATATTTTCATAAAAAACAAACAAAAAATTTGCTGATTATCACAAACTATTTTTTTGTTTTTTTCCTTTCAAGATATTTAATTTCCTTAAATTGTGTTTATTTTCTTAAATGAAAACTTATAAAAAATTGAAAAGCTAATTTAACAGAATTTTTGTCTCTAACTTACATACAAACAAAGGCCAGTTAAACATAACAACGACAAAAACAAAATATGTTGAAAAAGCATTTAATTGATTTAAATTGAAGAAAAAAGGAAAACAACAACAAATTTACCACAAATGCATGGCACATAATAACATACGAACATAAGAACTATACGAGCGCATTTTTGCTGAGTTTATGTTTTTAACTGTGGGAAAGTAAAAAGTAGAAAAAAAAAACTAAAATACTTTTTATAAAAGAATTTTATTTAAAATTTTAGTTTTAAATAAAGGGTTTTAATTTTTTTTATTGATATTAAATTTAAAATTAATAATACAGCTTCTGGCATATTTATCTGGAATAGGATGAGAAATATATTCGCGAAAATAAGAGTACACTGTGCATGGAAGTCTAGACCCTGTAGATAGTCGGGAACTACTGTACAAAAGACATATATATATTTATTTTAAATTGGCTTTAGTTTATTATGAATCTAGTAAAAGAGTGAAAATTTAATTGTCATTATGAACTAGTAGTTCCGTGATATAAGAATTCATGAAGCTTTTTATTATTTTCCGAATTTCACTTAAGTGGTTATAGGGACACACCGCTATATATTTCCGTCGGTTCGTACGTGTTGTCATTACATACGAATACATAATAAGTAACAAATTATATAAGTACCAAATTAGTTGTAAGCTTTAACCAAAGACTAACATTTTGGCGTGATTCTGATATCCCA